CTGACCCTATCATCCCATTGGAATACAACCTCTTTTCAATATAATCTTGTTTCAAGGTGGATGCAAATGATGGAGAATCCTTTACGGAACTTTCTGTAATAGCCGGCTAAACCCAGAAAACTGTTCGAGACTTCCTGTAACATTCCTCGGGTGGTCTCCAATCAAATAATAGCTTCGGTCTTTCTAGGATCCCACTCTGATACCTCTGATGACACCCCAAATGTCCTAAGAAAGAACTTCTCTAAGCCAATTCACATTTACTGAGCTTGGCATACAGCTGTTTTATCCCCTCAGTGTCTGAAGTACAATCCGCAATGTTTTATCATGTTCAAGCCCTATCTCCCTAGAGTAGACCAAAATGTCAAATCTATAAACAACGCAACCATGACTGACCAGATAAATGAAATGAAACACGCGGTTCATAAGATCCATGAAAACCGCCGGTGCATTAGTGAGACCGAATGGCATTACTAAAAATTCATAGTGACCATATCGGGTCCTGAATTCCATCTTGGAGATATCTTCTTCCTTTATCTGCAACTGATGGTATCCTGACCTGAGATCGATTTTAGAAAACATACCTGCACCCTTTAGCTGATCAAACAAATCGTCAATTCAAGGCAACAGATACTTATTCTTGATTGTCAGCTTGTTCAGCTGTCTGTAATCAACACACAGTCTGAGTGATCCATCTTTCTTCTTGACGAAATCTCTATTCTATCCAAGTAAGTAAATCTTCTTGAATTTCATAATTGACTCATTTGGTGATATTTTTAGAGTATTCATAAGAATTCTTTAACTCTTTTAGCTCTGCTGGTGCCATTCTGTAAGGTGCAATTGATACTGGTACTGTTCCAGGATAGACATCTATGGTAAACTCCACTTCCCTCTTTGGTGGTAACCCTGGTAACTCTTTTGGAAATACGTCTGGATAATCACACACTGTCACTGTTGGTATGTCTTGCACTCTTGCCTTTTCTTTCTCTGCTTTTAATGCACAGACCAAGTATGCTTCACAACCCTTCTGAATTAATCTCTTTACTGCCATGGCTGATATCACATTCCCCAGAAAATCGCGCCGCTTCCCGACGACTGTAATCTCTTCCCCTACTACTGTATATAATGTCACCCTTTTCTTTGCACAATCAACCATAGCCTGATGTTTGGATAGCCAATCCATACCTAGAATAACATCAAATTCTCTAAATGGTAACTCCATAAGATCTCCTGGAAACTCCTTTCCATGAATAACAACTGGACATACACCCTTTGACTACTATATGAGTTTTTAACTTGTATCTCTAATGGAATTAGTAACAAAATACCCTGACTTACATGCTCAATTGCTACCCTTTAACCCAGTGTTTAGGTACGGCTAATGTATTGAATTGTGATGATCCAGGATCAATTAAAGCATAAACTGTATGATCAAATAAAGAAACGCAAAACAAAACTATGGACATCTGGAGCTTCCTCATCTTCCTTGGCTGCATTAACATAGACCCTGCTGGGGAACTTCTGGTATCAGGTCTGTCCACAGTTCTCTGGATGGCTTGGTCTTCTGCCCTCCGGAAGCTTCTCACCTTCTACTCCGAACCTCTACCTCTGCCTACTTATTGGAACTGTGTAGAAACTTTCTACCCTCTTAGGACAGTCCCTCTCTTGATGGTCTGAATGCTCCATATATCATTGCATCTTAGCCTGTCACCATCCAACCAGTAACCAACCAACAATCTCCACCATGCCGTCTGCCACAATGCTCACAAGGTGGAAAAGTATAACCATCTGACCCTGCACCTCTACCAGTGCCTCTACCCGGTGCCTCTGCCTGAACCTCGACCACCACCGGCAGAACTAGCCACAACTGATACCGCTGGCGCATGAGCACCCCTAGCTGTGCCGTGGCTAAAAGGATGCCTAGGACCAGTTGAAGTACTAACACCTCTGAATCTCTTGCTCTCTGACTGATATGTACTGGGTGCACTCTGAGTCTGATCTCTCTTCTGCTGAGACCACTGGCGTCTGGTACACTGACTGGCCTGAATTCGCTCTATCTCCTGAGCTCTGAGCTGCCTCTACCAAAGCTGAGAACTCTCTAAATCTGGAAGCTACCACTCCCATCTGAATCTCATCATTCAGGCCCTCTTGAAACTTTTTACACCTCTCTACCTCTGTAGCCACTATCCAGTCACCATACCTGCTGAGTCTGGTGAATTCTCTTTCGTATTCTGCAATTGACATTCTATTCTGTCTCAGGTATAAGAATTCCTTCCTTCTAGAATCAAGATAAGCCTCTGTGATGAACTTTTTCTTGAATTCATCCAAAAAGAATTGCCAGGTACGCTGCTCTGCTGGTACTCTCTGCTGAACAGTACTCCACCATGGTATGCCTCGTCTATGGTGGCCGAAAAATGGATTTCAACGGAAAAGCCACCAAACCGCTCGAATTTTCTCTTGGAGTCCATATCCGACTTGAATTTGCAGAGAGGAGGAATCCTTTAGCTATTTCTGGACTGTCATCCTTGCTAGCTCTGAATTCTTTTGCACCGTATTTTCTAAGCCTTTCTAGTGGGGACTTTCTTTCTCTGTCTACTCCTACTGATGCCTGAGGTATCACCCCTGCAATCTGTCTAAACGTATCTGCAAGTTGTTTTAACAGCACCTCCTGACCTACTTTGGTGCTCTAGAGCCTTCACCCTCCACTGCTCTGGAGGCGTGTGACTCGTTCACCTTCCTGTGACATCCTTCCTAAAAAGATAACAAACTGCTTTTAGTTCATTCAGGGTAGTCATGGGCGTGTACACTTTAATGACATATGCATGCAAGCCCGAGGAAACTAAACCTTAGGGCTCTGATTACCAAAAATTTGTTCATAGCCCTTTACCCTTGTAAGTATTGTCCGGCTTGCATAGTCCCGGATGGCCCGGATGTCCCTACACCTCACGTTTTGTCCCTTTGAGCCAGTGGTCACCACTCGTGCCAACTCAAAAGGCGCCTACCAGTTTAGAGGACTACCCCTGCTTATAGGTTAGAGACTACCCCTCTTATGTATAGATCGTTTACCTCGTCCGTAGCTGATGTGAGATTCGCCTAAGGTGATGCCCCCTGATGTCCAGGATGTCACAGTCTTCCACTTTAAAAGTGATATTTTTACTATTAAGTAAAGAATTAAATCACACTTTTTACACACAAAACTAAATAGTTTAACGGATTAAACATTTATCTCATGAACTACCAATGTATTCATCAAATAAAAGAGATGAAATTACAATTATAAACAAATTTAAGGGACTAAACAGTTATTTATCTAATGTCTAAAGTTTTTTTTTTTTTTAAGTGTTTGTTCTGTCGGCCACTTCTAACATTGGCACAAAGAGGGAAAGGAAAAGAATTTCTCTATTAGTTTAAAAATTTAAGAGAATTTGACTTTTTAATTTTATTTTAACCATTTTAGCATCTGAAATTCACTTTCTGACCAATCTGAATTTACACGGAATAGGTTCATACACGAGGACTTCACTTTACCAAGTGGTGGTGTTACTGATAGATTATGTTAGATAATCAAACAAAGAAAACATGTGTAACATGGGTTTAACTCGTCTCAAGTGGAAGACAGACAATTACCATCATATTTAATTAATTCTTAATTATAAACAAAGGAACAAAGAATATCTCGTGTAAATTAGTTAATTATAAATTCCAAGATCCACAGTTTTGATTTTTTTATGGACCAAAAATTGTACTACATGGCCCTTACCTTTATGAGCCTAGACTTTGGTTTAAACATTAAATTTTCCAATGAGAACTAGTAGTTTTACAAGTATAAAATTATATAGAATAAAGAAAAGACTTGCATTTTGCCCTTCTTTAGGATCCAAAAAGATTTCATATTTATTGCAGTAAAGAGGCTTGTGGTTGATGGGCCTCCAAGGAGGCACAATGCTATTTGATAATGATGGTTAAGTAAGATTCGGATCCCACGCTATACTAGAATCTAAGAATGAGTGGTGTGGAACAGTGGAAGGCCCAAAATCGGCAACACCCTATCCATCGTACGATTTCATGGGATCCCAAAAATGTCGCAACCTGATATAATTTTTATTCATGGTTTATAATCAATTTCTATTATTTTTAATGTAATAAAACATTAAATCCTCAATTTAAAAAATAATAATAAATATTTTAAAATTGAAAAATAAATTAAAAACAGGAAAAAAAAATTCAATTTCGTAGTTGACGATGGAAATTTTTTTTTTTAATTTTTAACCTTTTTTTTTTAAATAGAAAACTACACATTTTTTTACCATAAATTAATCACAATATTGACCTTTAAAAAAAAAAAAAAAAAGAAATTGACCTTTTTAAAAAAAAAAAAAAAAAAGAAGAGACAGTGAAAAAAAAAAAAAAAAGAAGAGAACAGTGAGTACATAGATATGATAAAAAGACATGCACATTTTTTATTAAAATCATTAAATTTTAATATAGCATTTAACCCTTAAATTTATCACATACATGCCATACAAGTAATGTGAAATCTCAAAAACTTAGGTGCACTTAAATTATTTTATAAGCTTTCAATTGATGCATAAAAAATATTTCTAAAAGAAATCCAATATATAATTCTTTTTCATTTTTATTTATCTTATTTATCCCTTCTTTTGTTTGGTCTAATTATTTATTACTTCAACTTTATTAAATTTATGTAAAAATTGTTCTAGTTGATAAGTTTGCAATTAAAGATTTCATCGCTCACCTCAAGAGTAACTATATAATTTTAACTGGGCCTTCAAGACCACTTTACCTGGGCCGAATACAAACTTAAATGGCGGTTACCCGCGGCCCAATTTGACATTTTTAGGAAACAATTCATTTCCGAAACACACGCTCACCGAGATTTAAATGCATTTAAACGCTGTTATCGAGACACCACTTTGACGTTTAATGCGATTGTCAAGCGATGAAACGCGATAGTCGAACGATAAAATAGTAAACGACAGTAATAAAGAAACGTTTTCGAAAAGAGTCCATAAAAAAAAATTCAGATCTACCACTTGATTTACACAGAAAACTGAATTGAACACAAAATACGAAAATCTAAACGGACTAGGAAACTAAAAATACAAAATTAACCGCCAAAACCATAGAGAGTGCGACCCTGCCTCTTGAGAGCGTAGACAACATCCATGGCGGTTACTGTCTTTCTACGAGCATGTTCAGTGTAAGTAACAGCATCGCGAATCACATTCTCAAGGAAGATCTTGAGTACGCCTCTAGTCTCTTCATAAATGAGACCACTGATACGCTTGACGCCTCCTCTACGAGCGAGCCTGCGAATGGCCGGTTTGGTGATGCCTTGAATGTTATCTCTCAACACCTTCCTGTGCCTCTTTGCTCCTCCCTTTCCCAGCCCTTTGCCTCCCTTTCCTCTTCCCGACATTTCGTTATCTCTCAACACCTTCCTGTGCCTCTTTGCTCCTCCCTTTCCCAGCCCTTTGCCTCCCTTTCCTCTTCCCGACATTTCCTCTTTCTCTCGTTTCCTAACTCAGACCAGCAGTGGAAAACTGAAAATAGACTTGCCCTGGGATATGGGCAGATGGGGGTTTATATATTTGTTAGGAGCGGGCCGCCTCAAATTTTAAGCTCCAATTTCGAATTTTCACAAAAATTTGAGCGCTAAAAGCGAAGCAAGTACCGCCACTTCTTTTCGATTAGTATGTTGACCGTTGGATGGAATGTCATCTACGGTAAGAAAGATCGATCCGCGTCAATGGAAGAGACTCTATTTGAACCGTTGGATGAAAACTCATCTAAAGATAGACTTAAACGGATTGCCAAGGTGTAAGTAACGTCATATCGTTTCTTCAGTTAGTAACGTGATTTTATTGTCGTGTTAATCACAAAGTCATTTCTGGAATACACTTAAGGACATGACGTTTGGTCGATTCCTATCAAAGAGCATGTCGTTACTTTTTTTTCTGTTTTTTCTAAATGTCAAGTGAAAAATGGTAAACGTGATCTGGGCCCAAAAATGTTAAAGAACTAAGAGAAACTCTTGTGTGGACTGTCCACCGGGGTCCGCCGAAGACACGAGGCTGATAAGAAATTACTGAGAGAGATTGATAGGTTTGGGGTGAGTCAATAACGCGATAGTAAAAAGGATTGCGTTGACTGGACTGGAGGTTTTGAAGCACGCGGGAGTTGCCTTTGCCTTGCCTACTACTCCCACCCTCCGCAACTTTTGAAAGACGTTCCCCTCAACCTTAACAACAATTAAAGAAATGATTAAGCAAATTCCATGTTAGCAAAAATAATTTGTACTCCCTCACCATGAAAATCTCTCTAGCTTATTAATTAATTTGCTCTCTAAATGATTAATTAAGAAGGAAATAAATTAAGATCAATCGATTATTAAATATTGAACACATCACAGCCACACACATATACATACAGAAAATTAAAAACAAAACATAGAATTTTATTATTTTTCAATAAAGCAGGTAGAAAGTACAAATGAACCAAATTTGGAAAACAAACACATAACTGCACCTTTTTATTTAACCTACCTGTCTGCATAATCAAAGTTCAAAACATTTAAAAAAAAAAAAACAACATCACATGATAACAGTCGTAAATCGACATTTTAGTCTATAGGACATGTGTAGTGAGCCAACTGACAATAGCTCGTTATTTATTAGCAAGAGCCTCTTGGCTCTTCCTAAACAGCTTATGCTCAATATGTTGAGCGAAAGTGCGAGGAGGAAACAGTGCAGGCTCTTCTTCAGTCACAACTTCAGGTAATGGCTTAAGGATAATTTTTTCCTTCGGTGGCTCACAAAAAACTGCCCAGGAAATCCTTACCTTCTCCTTATTAACTAGTCCTCTGTGAAGAATACTCTTGTATCTGCGATTGCTCAGTATTTCAATCGTGTCGCCGATGTGCATGATTATGGAGTTTGGGACGCATTTTGCAGTGACCCACTTGCCTTCGTAGAAGAGTTGCAGGCCAGGCACCATATTGTGGAGGATGAAAGTGAGAGCACTAACGTCAGTGTGTGCTTCAACTCCTAGAGCAAGTTCTGGCTGTGGGCATTTAGGGTAATAGTTAATCTTCATTTGAAGAAGAAGCTCTTCAAGCCCACCAACTTCTTTTTCTAGTCTTCCTTCTTCTAGTCCTAAGCCAAGTGATAGTACTGACAGCATTTTGGTAGCTAGTGCTCTTAGTTGCCTCGCATACTCACTGGTCGCCGCTCTGCATTTTTTTTTTTTTTTACACATTTAATACATGCATGTTAGTATAAAGATTATGGAGAATTTATACATTGATTTTCTTATATGGAAATCTATAATATTTCTAAAATTAAAATATAATTTAATTAATTATGAAAATTCTAAAATTAAAATTTATATTTGTATATTTTGAGAAATAAAATTCTCAATAAGTCTTACCCTATTAATCAAGGCTTTGTTTTTTTTTTTTCACAAATAATTTACTTAGAAATTATTTTTCGGATTTTTTCATGTTTGAAGTATTCAAGAAAAATAATCTACAAAAATGATTTTCCTATTCAAAGGATTTAAGCTATTTTAAAAGAAAATAATTTCTCATTCTCAAAAGGAACAATAATATTTTTTAGACATTATAAATTTATTATAATTTTATAAATACATATTTATTTATCCATTGATCAATAGTAGCAACCACTACTGATCAGCAATTACTGCGAACTGCCAAACACCATTATTGGCTCCTAACAACCATTATAATTTATAATTTTTTAAATTTTTTTATCATATTCAACAATAAATTTTTAAAATACAAAATTTTTATAATACTCAGTTAGCAACACAAATTGAACATATGTGAAGAGTTGTCGTGTTTGATTCCAACTAAACACATCTACATAGAAGGGCGAAAAACCTTAACTGTGATTAAATTCCGAGCCGAATTAATCAGCCTCAGCTAATAGGATCCGGATACCGATTGATTACACTAAAAAACCTCTTTATATATATTTTTGATAAGCAGTGATTAAACGTTTTTTTTTTAAAAACTTTTCTGATTAGGACTTATCAGGCACTTGTTAAATGCATCTTAATTAACTAATTACTGCAACAACTTACATGTAGTCAGAGGGAGTTTTAGGCCAAATAGACAAGTCGCGTTTGTCTTCAGGATAAATAAGATGGAAGAAATAATCCTCCCACTCTAGCTGCCCACTAGCATTATTAGCAAGCTTACTGCCATAGCCTTGGATTTTCCCTGAAGCCTGATCATTTGCATATTTTTCTTTTTCCTCCATAGGTTGATCGAAGAAAGCTTCTCCAGCTTTCTTAACGCGTTCAATAAGTTGGTCAGAAATTCCATGGTTAACCAAATGCATAACTCCCCATTCCTTGGCAGCTTTTATGAACTCTGCTCTGCATTTCTCGCGAACAACTTCATCTTCAGAATCCACTTCTTTCAAATCAATGGTTGGAACCTGAGGCCCTTCTTCTTTTTTCTCCTCTTCGAAGACGTTGCCGATGCTTGTTAGCTCTTCTTTTGGACGAATGTATTCTTTTGGGATAGATTGAATCCCACTGCTTGATAAACTCTCAACTCTTGGAGCCACTGTTATCACCATTTTAGCTAGCTTTCGAGAAATGAAAATGTTTCTGTTATATGTTTTCTTTCTTTCTTTACTCTTACAGAGATCTGAGTGGAGAGTTTATATAAAGATAAAAGAAAGAGATGGAAAGTTCTAAGCGGTAAGTGTTCACGTGACAAGAGCTAATACAGATAAACAAGATTCTGTTGACTTATTGACTGGAGGATTTGAAGCACGAGAGAGTTACCTACTTCCACCCTCCGCAACTTTTTCCAATAATGACTGAAAAGTCATTTAATCATAATTTTTTTAATATTTGATAACCTTGATTGTATTATTGAGAATATTATTTCAATATCGCTCTATTTTATTTTTAGATGATTCTCATCAATTTTATTTTTTCTATTATGCTTAAAATTATAGTTTCTATAAATAGAGTAGAACAATATATTTCTTTTTTTATTTTGTGTAGTACAACACTGGCATAATGGAAAAAAAAAAAGAAAAAAAATATATAAATAGACACACTTTCAGCAATAAATGTAGATAAGATTTGGATTTAAATTCCCCCCCCCCCCGCATAAATGTAGATAAGATTTGGATTTTAAATTCCCCCCCCCCCAAAAAAAAATACAATTCTATAAAGCAAATAGTGGATCCACATTTTTATTTAATTCTGTTTTTTTTTTTATCTATTTTTGTCCCCCCCCCCCCAAAAAAAAATAAATTCTAATAAATCAATAGTGGATCCACATTTTATTTAATTCGTTTTTTTTTTTTTTATCTTTTTGGCCATTTTGCATTTTTATTTTCCCTGACCAACTTTATTTAATTCATTTTCGTATCTTTTTGGCTATTTGTGTATTTCCATTTTTCATAACCAATTGCATCTCTTATATATATATATAAGGAAATGAAAAACAGATGGTGCAATAAAGAGTGTTTTCTATTAAAATATATTTGAAATACATATTTCAATCTAATTTTTGAAATTAAATTTGAATATAATTGAACCTTTTAACATAAACAATATTTTCCAATAAAATTTTATTTAAGTCAAAGGGTTGTCAATTTTTTCAAATGATCCATTTTGGAACACAGCTAATGAATTTGTAGTCAATCGCCTTGAGTTTAAAATAACAACCCTATGAAGAAAAAGAAATCAATTTCTACCATTTTGTCAATTAGTTGATTCTAGATCAATTTAGTACTAATTAACTAATATTTTTACTAATGTCAAGTCTTAATAAACTATTTTAAATGTGTAATTATAACTTGAGGGAGTCAAATATCCGCAATGTGACAGTTCGACCTTGCTAAAAATATTTTTATTCTACAATAATATTCTGGTTTTCCTCCGCCGTTGTTTTTTAGCTAATTGTCTTGGATTCTTGGCCAGGTTGGTGACACTCGCGTGTTTACAACTTTCAGTCAGCGTATTATATTTCATATATTTATAGTTTTGTTTCTTTTTTTTATTTTTTTTAATTTTTAGGGTGGACAGTGTATAAGAAGTTCAACGAATTAAAAAATACCGTAATATTTTTTCATTTCTCACGTAAGCGAAGACACCGATCAAACCATACATAATTGATTAGAATAGACATTATTGCAAATCTCAAATGGCAACAAAGTAAAATACTATAACAGAATTAAATTGATATAAATTTATATTTAGAGATTTAGCAAATCCGAATTTGTTGAAAGAAAAAAAAAAAAAAAAGAGAAGGAATAAACCCCTACCGACATAAAGAGTGATCAAAAGTGGAAAAAATGTGAAAAAACAAGACAATAAAAGGACATAAAATGTATTATTTTATCTCTTTTTCTAAAAGAATTTTTCACTCTTTATTATTATTTTATACTTTCGTTTTTTTTTTTCTAACACAAAAACCGAAACCCTAATAATAAATGAAATAAAATATATCAACCCAATGAATTACATCGATCTAGGTGTTGAAAAATAATGGAATACCATCTTTATTCTTCCAAACGAAATGATGACACGTGTTGAAAAATAAAATAAAAATGATGACTTGGCAGCCACAACAGCAAACTATTTGATATTTTGAAAATAGAGTTACATTTCCCTCCACACATTCTCTGTTGCCTTATCCTCTTGATGTTCTCTTCTCTGTCTCTGTTTCCCTCCAAACAAAACAAAGAAATATATCATCACAAAAATTAAAAAAAAAAAAAAGAAACAATTCATTAACCATTAGTAATCTCCTCCACCTCAAAACTATAGTTAACGATTCCAATGGCTAGCAAATTAGCCATCTCTTTGACTTCTTCTGGTCTCTCCTCTGCTCCTATTCGGAAACCAGTCATCTCTTTATCATCATCTTCTTCTTCTTCTACGAGGTCTCAGTCCATTCAATTCAATGGAAGGCATTTTTGTGTTCGACGCAGAATTTTTATGCTTCCAATCAAGGCAACTGCTGACCAACAAGGTTTTGATAGTCTTTAAGAATCCATGACAATTTAGATTTTATACCTTCTAGTTTAGATTTGCGTGAGATGAAATGGGTAATAAATGATCTGCTTAGTGATTTAAGGATTAAGTTTGAAATATAAAGATACTTGATTTTTAAATTAAATTATTTTGTTTTATTGGGTATTTTTATTTTCTATCGAAAATTAATTACTGAACATTGAAAATTTTTTTTTTGTTCTTTTCAGGTCAGGTGGGAGAAGACCAGGTTGTGGACAGTAAAATTCTGCAGTACTGTAGCATAGACAGGAAAGAGAAAAGGTCAATAGGTGAAATGGAGCAGGAGTTTCTTCAAGCATTACAAGTATGTAAAAACCAGTCTTTTCTTTTTCATTCCTTCAATATTTTGATATTCAGCACATAATAACTCTATTTCCGTCTTCTTCTACAGTCATTTTATTATGAGGGAAAAGCTATAATGTCAAATGAAGAATTTGATAATCTCAAGGAAGAACTAATGTGGGAAGGAAGCAGTGTTGTTATGCTAAGTATGTTTATGACATTTATATTGTTTGTCAATTATTCAATCATAAGACAACTTTTTTCAACTCGCTTGATATTTGTATTTCACATTTCAGGTTCTGATGAGCAGAAGTTTCTGGAAGCTTCAATGGCTTATGTATCCGGGAAACCAATTTTGAGTGATCAAGAATTTGACGAGTTGAAGATGAGACTAAAGGTTGGTGCCTTCTTTTCTTTCCTTTTAGTTTATAATTGCATATGAATGAGTTGAAGATGAGACTAAGAAGTTCACATCTATAACATTCCAATTACAAATATATTAGTGCCACCAACTGAAATTGTGCTAATAAATGCAGTTTCCTTCATGTATATCTTTGATTTTATTTTTATTAATAATTGTTTTGCAGCAAGAAGGTAGTGAAATCGTAGTTGAGGGTCCTCGATGCAGTCTTCGTAGTAGAAAGGTGCATATCGCTCCAATTTTTCTCTCCTCTTGTGCTTGTAATTATGTACATTAATCTTGTTCAATAAAGAAAGAGTGCATATCGCCTCCAAATTTTTCTCTCCTCTTTGTGCTTTTGTAATTATGCTAACATTAATCTTGTTTCATATAGTTCTAAGTAGGGAAGGCTCTGCAAAAATTTGTTTTTCTCATTGCAGCATTTTATTTATATTTAACCCTCAACATTATCATTTATATTAATTATTTCACTTCAAGACGTATTCTGATTATTTCTTCTTCTTTTTGTTCCATGTCCTGCAAATTCTAATGGTTAAACCTTACTTGTCCCTGCTCAACCGTCTTCACAGGTTTAACAGTGAACCTGATCTGTTTGACTATTTAAAAGATGTTCCTGTTGGTATGTCCCCTGCAACTGTTGTTGCATTAGGCTTGTAAGTCGTTTTCCTTTTCTCTTCAGCTCAATCTACAAATCCCTTTCATTTTATCTGTTTTGACAATCTTTGTTGAAGGAGATTCCATCTAAAACATTAGAAGTTCAACAATTTTGTTGATTCTGATACTTTTAACTTTCATTTTCTTTTTCTTTGTACAGGTTTTTCTTCTTGGATGATTTGACTGGATTTGAAATAACATATCTTCTGGAGGTAAACAGCACTCATTCTTCTTTTTCTTCTTTTGGTTTTATGAAGCAGATTCTGACAAGACAATCATTAGTTAGAGCTTCAGTGTTAAGTTTTCTAATTTGTTGAGTTGCAGCTTCCAGAACCATTCAGCTTCATCTTCACATGGTTCGCTGCGGTGCCATTAATAGTCTGGTTAGCTCAGTCTTTCACAAATGCAATTGTAAAAGACTTTTTGATCTTAATGCAATTGTAAAAGACTTTTTGATCTTGAAGGTAAAAATCTGCATTTATTTCTCTTCTGATTAAATGATTTCCAAATTGACATACTAAAGAATTACATGATTTTCTAGGGCCCTTGTCCCAACTGCGGTACCGAAAACCTCTCCTTCTTCGGAACCATTCTTTCAGTTTCAAGCGGTGGTGTAACCAACATGGTCAAGTGCTCAAAGTAAGTTTTCAGATTTTTTTTTTTTATTATCTAACATTACTTATTAGACATTGTTATCTTATGTTTTACATTCCTGCAGTTGTGGAACTGATATGGAGTATGACTCGAAGACACGATTGATTACACTGCCAGAAGGAAGCAATGCTTGATTAAGAGGTACGTATCCTTTCAGCGAAAACTCGCCGACAGCTTAATTCTTCAAAATTATGATTTTCCAATTCAAGTGCTAAATCGATTGTGGCTATTGAATCCAGGATGAGACCAGTTTATGGGAATCATAAAATGCAACTGCTACTTAACTCATAAAGGCGGAAGTCAGGAGTGTAAAAACTTTGGGTGATAAATTATGGGAGAGGAGAAAGTTTTCAGATGTGTGCTCTGTAATGTATCTGTATGGTTGTGTTAATATTGTAATTTACCAGTATATAAATACTTCATACATTGACCTATTACAGGCTTGCCATAAGAATATGACAGCAGAATTGCAATCATCATTTATGGTTTAGCAACACCACAAGTGACTCCATTTTTGCATTGCTCAGCACTGGCTATAGCAAGCTGGGTTTGATATTCTGAATCACTGGAACATTAGAACATTAGGATTAGATTTGAGAGATCATCTATTCAATTCTTTCCCCTTTGCCTTTTTTCATCTCTTTAAAGAGATAGCAAACCAACGGTAAAGTATAATTTAGCACCATCCATAATACTTGCATTCATACATGACTTCGTTCTAACACCTAAGGAATTCTAACTGCCAACAAAAGAAAAATAGAGCTTCCATTAACAAAAAAAAAGAAAAAAAAAAAACCCTGATGAATGACAGGCCTTCCAAGATCAATCGAGAAGAGACCATTATCCACACAACATCATTGTCAGTTTGACACCATTCACCCAGAAGCTTTACCCTTACAGGATTGCCACATCTAAGTAATCTCCAATCTACAATACGGAAACGATAACAAAGTGAGCAGATTAATATAAAGATTCTGAATGATGTGGAAGTCAAGAATGCCTTCATTTTACCTGGAAGCTGAGTTCACCCAATGCCTTGGCATCATATGGCCGTCTTGCATTTGAATGTGTCACTCCCACCTGAAATATATATATATATATTAGAGCTAAGGTAAACATGTTTCTAGACACTGTAGGATGACGGTGATTGCAAATCTTCCGCTGTCCCCAATTGCATTAATATATAGAAGTAAATCCCTCAATCGGGAGGTAGGACATACCACTCTCAACATAAAACGACCATGTATATCAGGATATACAAAAGCAAATGACAGTCTTGCACTTTGCCTCCTTGCCTCGGGAACCACCTCTTTGACCTGATAAAAGAGCTAGAGTTCATCACAAAGCAAATAAGAGAAATTTATTTGATTAAAAATAATATAACTTTTGGTGGAGGAGACAGAAAGGAGAAACAACATACAAGGTCAGTTAGTTCGTGAAGAGTTGCATCTTTCCACGTATATATTTGAACCTCATCCTTGGGTTCTTTGCCTCCAACTGCAAAGTCTTCCATCTTGTGGTGACTTCCAATCTGCCAAAGAAAATAAATAAAAAAAAAAACAACTCAAATGGAATGTAAATTTAATAATGTACTCAGTAAGTTGAAACTTGGAAGCACAATGATCCATCATTGAGCAAATCATAATGCATACCCAGTTAATTATAAATTGACAGCATCCCATGACCAATATTTTCTCTGAATATTAGTGATTAAATATAATGACTTCCAATCTGCCAAAGAAAATAAATAAAAAAAAAAACAACTCAAATGGAATGTAAATTTAATAATGTACTCAGTAAGTTGAAACTTGGAAGCACAATGATCCATCATTGAGCAAATCATAATGCATACCCAGTTAATTATAAATTGACAGCATCCCATGACCAATATTTTCTCTGAATATTAGTGATTAAATATAATGGAAAAAATAAATAATTAATAAAATAAAAGCTAAAATTGAACTCTTTTACCATAATAAAATAATAAGCACCTAAAAATTGCAAATTAGCTAATTAACAGTGAACAAAAAGAGTACCTTTGTGAAAACTCGAAGCAATAAAGGGCAAGTCTGCGCTCAAAGAGCAAAAATTAAGTCAGAAACTCATATTTTTGCTCTGTAATAATTCAACAAAACCCTCGAAACAAACAACTAACTGAATGGATGTGTATAAGCGTAGCATAGACCTTTTCGCGATCGATTGGTTCCAGGCCGGGCCAACGACTGAGAGGGTGGGCCCTACTCGGAGGAGGGACGGGTCTAGTCTGCGGTGGCAGCGGCGGTCTTTGGCGCGGGTGGTGGGGCGCTGCCGCTGCCATTTCTCCCGTCTGCTGCCTTTCTCCTTCTCGATTACACGACTCGCTCTCTCCCTATTTGTTTCTTTTTCTTAAAAAACATTTAAGGGCTTCTAAGGGCCCACTACGATCTTTCTCATTCGTTGTGGCCTATAGCCCCACGGATTTATGGGCCCAATGAATATGGCAGAACACGCGGGGCTGTACATGTGTCGTATTTATTGATTTAGAATATCCATAATGCCTAAATGGATCCTTCCAATTCAACTCATACATGAATGATGAATCTATGGATTAGAATGGTTTAGTTATAGCTGCAACATGAATCCACGTATTAAATAAATCACACATAACACAAATAATTCTAAATAAAATATCAATATTTTTAAAAAACAACCAAAAAATAATTATATTTAGTAAATTAATTTTACAAATTATTTTAAGTTTCAGTGGCATATACAAAACCAACAATCAAAATTACTAATAAATGTCATATATATTTACTAATGTTTTTGAATCAGGTCGGATTTACGAATTTATCAAATAACTGTGTGATCCAACTCCGTCCACTAATTTTTAAAACAATTTATCTAATTCAATTAATTATGCCTCTATATATATTAATTTAGTCAGATGATCACGAACGATGTGCTCAAAGTCACTAAATATAAAAATACAATATTAATCCTCAGCTCACAGTATATATTCTGAATTGTAATCAAATCGACAAACAAGAAATGACACACATAAAACCTGCCTGCACGTCAACAACCATGTACGAATAATCTAATATGAAACGTTTCTATTCATTTAAAAACACCATTTGACTTCAAAGAAGGGCACTATCTTCGTGCACTCACGAAAGGCATTATTTTTTTCCAAATTAGAACATTATATAAGGGAAACAAAATACAAGTCAATGAAGCATCATACATTGTCATATAGGCTAGAGGAAGCTTAATAAGCAATAGCAACGCAAAATACTCATGGCTTCTTTTTTCAATTCATGGAGCCTTAACTTCTTATTGATTGCATTAACATCGACATTGATAGGCACATCCATGGCTATAGGTTATAGTACTCAATTGCCCGTATTTCGTCCAAGTCAATGGCATCTCGCTCATGCCACATTTTATGGTGATGAAACTGCCTCTGCGACAATGGGTATGTTATATATCGTTAAATTAATAGTTTAATGATCGATTACTCGTGTTTTTATTTGTTTATTTATTTTTGTTATAATGGATAATATAGGAGGGGCTTGTGGGTATGGAAATTTGTTCCAAAATGGATATGGAACGGACACAGCAGCATTGAGCACAACATTATTCAACAATGGGTATGCATGTGGGACATGTTATCAAATAAAGTGTGTGCAATCTCCTTGGTGCTATAAAGATGTGCCATTTACTACAGTAACTGCTACGAACCTTTGCCCTCCAAATTGGAGTGAAGACTCCAATAATGGGGGATGGTGCAACCCTCCTCGAGTTCATTTTGACATGTCCAAACCTGCTTTCATGAAAATTGCCCAATGGAAAGCTGGCATCGTCCCAGTTATGTATCGCAGGTTTGTTTCATTCTTCTTTGCTAGCTTTTTAATCCTTTTTCACCTAACTTTACTAGCTTTTTTCCCCCACTAACCAAAGTTCTATTTTTGTGCTTACTGCTAAGCACGTCATAATGAAGTTTCAGTTAGTAGCTAACATGTCTTTCGCTATGGACTTAATTGGATTGAGTTGGAAACTTACTAAGCGATAACTTTCAAATTCAGAGAAACCCTGGAATTAAAAATGGGCAATCCGGAGCTAAATCCTGTTTTCCGAAAACAAACAAAGGTTTGGAAGGAAAAATGACTCCCAACTAAAAGGCTGCCAAAAAATATTCCTAAATTAGCACTCTTTGATCATCTTTTCTTTTTAATAACTAAAGTTTCTTCTATCTAGGAGATTAATCAACAGTCATGATCATCAATGGTTGTGATAGAGTAAGTTCAAACAGAAAGAACAAACAGAAGCTAATCTTTCATCTTATATGTATGATTTTTGCAGGGTACCATGCATAAGAAGTGGTGGGCTTAGATTCACATTCCAAGGAAATGGGTATTGGCTACTGGTATATGTGATGAATGTAGGAGGAGGTGGTGACATTTCAGGTATGTGGGTAAAGGGAAGTAAGACGGGATGGATAAGCATGAGCCATAACTGGGGAGCTTCTTATCAGGCTTTTGCTAGTTTAGGAGGCCAATCTTTATCTTTCAAGATTACTTCATATACAACAAAGCAGACTATTTTTGCATGGAATGTTGCTCCTGCAAACTGGAATGTAGGGTTGACATATAAGACAAATGTCAACTTCCGTTGATTTTTCATGACATCTTCTTTCATTATCACTTTCTTTTTTTCTTTTTGGAAAATCTTATATATGGTCCTTTTTGGATAATTTTTCTTTCTGTTGTATGTGATCCTAATTATATATATTTGCTGAAAATGAAATTTTATGAGAGCTATCACTAGGTGCCAAAATAACTTGACCATTTTTCTTGATGATACCTATTTTTTTTTTTTTTTTTAATTTCAATAAGTTGAAACCTACCAAATGGAATCCAAGAAAGTAAGCATTCCCACGTAGTAAAATTTTCAATTTTGGTAACATGAAAAATAGTGTTATGGTCTATCTAATGCTAATTAATTAATTATAGCAAATGAAATCCCATTTTCAATTGTTAGAAATATTTGACACAATAGGGAAACTTGAAAGGTTGAAAGTACTATGGTACTACAATTACCCATTGTTGCAAGGACAAAACTATGTTTTACTTAATTTTATTAAGTGAGATTGAACCAAATGTTTAACCCAATAGGAAATTCAAAATTGCTTTGTTTCATACCCAATTTTATAATAAAAGAATAAAGAGTGCCATTAGCACTAATTAAAAAGAAAAACCCTTTAGAGTTGCTTTCAAGTTTCATGTTTAATGGTTGACTTCCCATGTGAATTTTGGGCCCATTTAGTAGGAGAAAAAAAAAAAACAGCAATTAAATTAGGGCATAACCATAAGTCCATAACTAGGATGAGACCCACAAAAGCTGTTGAAGTGGGAGACATGTCATCAACACAATTAAGAGAATTGAGCTCTCATGAGACATGAGGGACTATCCCTTCATTTCATCCCATAAGCACGCCAATCCCTTTTCTTTTCTTTCCCTTTTTGTATAGATTATCATCATCAACCTCATGCCCTAAATCATTTCTCCCAAACCTTCCCACCCAACTTTAACCTCCCTTTGCCTCTTCAAAGTTTACCTTCCAAGATTTATATGTAGGGGATTTTCACATCTTACTAGTTTAAGTTAATGTATACAAATTCATATATACTCTAACAACCGTAAATGTTTGTAAATTAAAAGTATTATACATCGTGATCCCTTTTAAGATTAAGAATTTGTTCGGCACAATTTTGGTAGCTATTAGCCATTTTAATAGTTTTTAACTGTTTGAATAATTTTTTTATAAAACGTAAACATTGCATGAGTTAATTTTTTATAAAACGTTATCTTAACCTCTAAAATTTAGTTCAAACGCTATACTACTGAACAATATACAAAATAGTGTTTAATGTTTTAACCGATTAAAAATTATTTTAAAAAACTGTTACCAAACACGGTCTAAGTATTAAATATATGACCAAAGAAGTAAATATCTTTTTAATTTTGATTTTACGAAGTGTAGGTCGATAAATAAAATAAAGTTTACATGCTAACATAGCAATTATTCCTAATAGTATTCTATTGCAAGGAAAAACAAGTCAAGAACTTTCCTTTCTATTCTCACTTTCTTCTGCTTTAATCCACCAAAAGCTTCCTTTTCTCGTCAATAAATTTTCTTAAACAGTCTCAGCTTTCCTCTTTGCAATTTCATTCCTGTTACATGTCCACACCACACCAAGTGGAAATATAGCCCTTTTCACCACCTTTAAAATTAAAACCAAGCTCATATTAATTCTCACATGGGCTCTCTCTTCTCTTTCTTCTTCATAATAATTTTTCTTGTCCTAGAATTTCTCAGAATTGAAGCTGAAGGGATCAAATCGGCCAGGCTTCTCGATCTTCTAATTAGAGATTACACATTCAAGTCCTATGACTTGCATTTTAGGACAGGTATGTTATATGCTGTAAAATTACCAGCAAATTTCTCCGGTATCAAAGTCGATACGGGGAGATTCCGATGTGGCAGTCTCCGGCGATATGGTGCTCAGGTTAAGGAATTCCATTTGGGAATCCTATGACTTGCATTTTAGGACAGGTATGTTATATGCTGTAAAATTACCAGCAAATTTCTCCGGTATCAAAGTCGATACGGGGAGATTCCGATGTGGCAGTCTCCGGCGATATGGTGCTCAGGTTAAGGAATTCCATTTGGGAATTGGTGTGATTGTGCAACCATGTGTAGAAAGAGTTATGGTAATTAGACAACATTTAGGACATAATTGGTCTTCTGTTTATTATGCTAGTTATGATTTATCAGGATATCAACTTGTGTCTCCCATTTTAGGCCTTTTAGCTTATAATGGTGGGAGTGATGTGAATTTCAGTAACCCTTTTGAGCTTGGAATCCATGCAGGAGATAAACCAATTACTATAAATTTCACTAATTTTACAAATTCTACCAATAACCCATCAGAAATTAAGCCTCTTTGTGCTAGTTTTGAAAATAACGGTAAAGTGACACTTGAAAATACAGTGTCGCATCATGTTTGCGTAGCAAAAAGGCACGGTCATTATGGGTTGGTAATGAAATCACCGCCGTCGCCACCGCCGCTGCCACCAGAACAGGTGAAAAAGAAGATCAGCTTGTGGAAAGTGGTGGTTGGTAGCACTGTTGGGAGTGCTTTGGGTGTTTTCTTATTGGGATTGCTTTTGGTGGCTATGTTTGTTAAGGTAAAGAAGAAAGCAAGAATGGAAGAGATGGAAAGAAGAGCATATGAAGAAGAAGCTCTGCAAGTTTCAATGGTTGGCCATGTCAGGGCACCTACAGCTGCTGTTACTCGAACATTGCCTACAATTGAACATGAGTATAAACCTTATTATCATCCTTCTTCTTGAATTGTTCATTGTTTATTAAGAATATTATTCTTTTTGTAATAATATATAATGGTTTAAAAACAAATTAAACCAATTTGTTTGTATTCAAAAGAAGGATAAGATTCAACCAAAAAAAAAAAAAAAAAAAAAAAAATTGTCAGTTTCTTTAATATTCTTAGAAGAGGAACAACTCTTGGTTTCTCGATCTCTGTTTCTTTTTTCTTTTTTTCTTTTTTTTCCTTTAATACCTTTTATCTTTTTTTCAAAATTCTTCATTGAGTTTGTTTTATTCCAGGCTTCTTTTGCGCTAGAACCTATTGAAGTTTCAAGTTCCTTCATTAGAAAGGGAAAAAAAAAAAAAAAAAAAAAAAACCAAAGGGGTTTGTGTGTATTAGTTTTCGAACACCATACTTAGTCCGATTAAAGGGAGAAAAATAAAATTTTAACCATATTCGGTAAACTATAATAGAACATGATGTATTGTAATTAAAAGCATTTCTATTATAATGTTTACACTGTACATATTTTAAATTATGGTTCTCCTAATATATAATGCAGTTAAACAGTGAGCCAAGAACAGAAAAAACCAGAAAATTGTTTTTGGAAAATAGGTGATAGAATAAGAAATTGCATAATGGGCATTTGAGAAAGAGTAATTGTTCTTTTTTTTTTTTTTTTTTTTTTTTTATTTTTTTTTTTTTTTTTTTTTTTTTTTCTTTTTAAGAGTGTGTCTCCTGAAATTGTGGCAGGTGCAGTAGGCAAGGCAGAAGGAACATGAAAGAGAAAAGAAGAAGATATTGGAAGAAGTTGCTTTCTTGTCAGTGGCAGAGTCAAACCTCGTGCATGAACACAGAGACTTCCAGGGGTTAAAGTTTAGACACAATTATAACCATTTGATGCTAGAAGTTTCAAATGTCTCTCAAAGATTAACTACTGATAATTAGTAGATTTTCTTAAACAGCTATCTATTTTGTTTGGCAAAACAGTTTTTGTCTTTTATGGTAGATATTGATTGAGAATGAAATCATTAGAGTTTTCTTTTACGTGGATTGGAGTAAATTGGTAGCAGAGCTTTTGTTCATCTTGCCTTCTGTTGCTTTTGTCAAACTTCATAATCATTTATCACTGCAAATGAAATTTGGCTAAGTGGATAGAGTAGATTTTTTTTTTTTTTTACCAGCAATAATTTTTTTTCCTTTTTATTATTAAGATTAAAATTAAAACAACAAAATAGTTTTTTTTTTTTTTTTCGCATAAAGTATGGATAGGATATGAAATGGAAAATCGAAAGAGGAAGGAGAAGAAAGATGTATGGACCCTATCGACAGTGTAAGGCCCAAAGTAACAAATCCAGCACTAGAAGATGCACTAAAGGTAACCCTTGGGCCATCTTCTTTTAAACATCTGGTCTTTTGAAAACATTTGAACGACAGGTCGTTAGGACAGCTTGTATGATATTTTGGTTTCAAACGACTAAACTGAATGCTACTATTTTTGGGAATGACATGTCGATTTATCAGTTATACATGTTTGCTAACGAGGAAGAGTAGAATCGTAGGGAGTAGAGGTGGCCACGGTTCCGGTTCAAAAAAACAGGTTGAACCGGAACTGAACCGAAAAGGTTCGGTTTTGATTTGAAACCGAATGGTTCCGGTTCCGGTACGGTGACAAAATCGACTGTTCCAATCGGTTTTCCAGCGAATTGCATAATTTTAAATTTTAAATTTTGAAGACCGGTTTTCAAAATTTAATAAATTTGTGAAAGTTATTTGTAAAAAAAAATTGAAGCAAAACTTCGATGGTGTGACTAAAAGAAAACTAAGCAAATATCAGACATAGTTAACAATCGGCTTATATCGCAACGACGACGAGAATATCGAAGGCAGATATAAAAAAATTCATCTAAAAACAAATAGTTTAAAATTATTCGAAGGAAAACAAACTTAAACAAACGAAACACTGCTTTTTGATCAAAACTTTAATAAATGAAAAATTATATGTGAATAAAGGTAATTCCTTATATTTCTGTGTTTAAGGACACTCAGATACCAAACTTGACGCGGAACCCTACTTACCTTGAGGAAAAAATTTAAAAATTCCTTATGAATGTTTCCCCAAAACTTTCTAATTATGTAACAATGTTTTGTGTGTGTAAAAGAAGAACAGATTGTAACAAAGATTAATATTTTTATATATTTATAAAAACATACACTTTCCTTCTAAGACACTCTCGACTCTCAATAAGACTTTTTTGTTTTTAATAAGAGGCAAGAAACTCCAATAAAATTTGAAGACAATTAAATTTAAAAAAAAGAAAAATAAGAATAAAACACAAAATGGCCACCATGAACCAGATTATACATTGATTAATAAGTCCTTACATCTTGTTATTTCTACCTCGGATTCGCAATTTAGAATAGAGATCGATTCATAATCTCCACCACGGCCCTACGTTGAAGAAACAATCCGAAAGACCCCGCGTTCACAAAGAGCATCTTATGGTATAAAGCCAGGGAAGGAATCTGCTCTTTGTGATTAAATTGATTACCTAGATTATTTGTTGAGAAACTTAATTAGCAAAATATCCGAACAATGTCTCCGGTTATTCTAGTAATATACTCTGGAAATCTAACCTGACGGTGACACAGATCCCGACTTAAAGAGACCCCATAATTAAAGTACGTTTAGCTAAGGAGGTAGGACTTTAGCAAATCTAACCAAATAGGATATGACTAACAAAATCATAACAACTTAAGGATTTGGAATATCTAATCCAAATCTTACTAAAAGATTGACTAAATCTAAATCAAAAATAAGGCTAAATAATCAAGGGTGGCCGAATTAAGAGGCCCAACCCATTAAACATAGCAAAGAACCTCAAAATAAAACTAACTAGGCTTAATGAGAGGCAGGGGTTGCTACGGTCTAGGGCGTTGCCAATGCGCACGGGCTGCTTCAATGTTAAGCTTCTTCGCGAGAGGCAGAGGAGTGACGGTCTAGGGCAATGCTAGTTGCATGGGCGGCGCGCATGTATGATTTTCCTCACGAGAGGCAGAGGCTTGCCCGGGTCTGGGGCGTGCTAGTTGGCACGGGCGTGCTAACAAAGCACAGTCTAGGCATGTATTGAAATATCAGGGTTCCAAACTCAACATGTGCTTCCATTAATGTGAGAACTTTAGGTGTTCCTTCATTCCTTCATATCCACTTGTTGAAAGCAAGGTCACTGGAGCTCTTGTGTGATTTGTTTCTTGAAATGTATATAAGGACATGGTTGCTCCATACTTCTTTGCACGGTCCTTGTGAATGGTCACTAGAAGTACTATGGATTGCCATTGTTGGTGGTCCTTGTTCCTTGGTCCCAATAGTGGTTTGGTGGATAGTGGATCCGTATCAGTTTGATGGCTAGAGCCAAGATTGAGGAAGATGAGCAAATTCACCATGTTCACGATTCCTTGGAGGTCTAAACAAAAGACATTACTGATGCTGTAGAGATGTATAGGTATGATACTGGAAAGAGATGATAGAACATGGCCATAAACTTGAAAAGACAGGAAAAAGGGGAGGTCCCAACCAAAGTTATTCTTACCAACACATGGGGTCTAAATGGCCAAAAGAATGGGTGACAAGGACAGATCAACTTAAAAGGTAAAGAGGCTGGTCCAAACTCCAATCAAAAGCAACAAAGGGACTTCTAACATTATAACCCCTTTCTAGATGAAATTAAATGTTTTAAATTTGTTTGGGAAAAGGGCATTATGCATTTCTCAACTGTCCTAATAAAGGTTATTGATTGTGTTAAAAGATTATGGAAATATTAGTCTGAATCGAATGTAGTGATTGTGATGGATATGCCTAATTTTAATGTTTGATGATGATGGATGATGGATTCAGAAAATAATTACTTCCTGAACATGGAGAGCTTGTTTGCTAGGCGTGCTGTGAATATTGATACGATCGGATCAAAGAATTGGATATAAGTTCGCCTCTATGGCACCCCACGTTTAGAAAGGAAAGGAAACCACCAATAATCGATGATTAAACGCTTCTATTGGGGCACCCCACGGTTTTATAATGGGAAACGGTAACCACCAGTATCAGGAGCAAAAACAAAAGATAAATGCACAAACAAGTTTCAGATTATACCCGGTTTGGACTAATTACCTCTCAATGATCTGTAAAATGCCGCAATTATGGGTTAGCGCTAGAATTACCGCAATCTCTCAGAAAACATCATCACTCCGCTAATATTGGCATCGCAAGGCGCAAGATCAGTAAAGGACAGAGGCGGACCGCGCAAAGTTTGGCATACAGATGTTAAGTTTTTGTCCAACCCCGTCACATTCATATCTGGAAATCACTAATAAAGAATTTGGATAAAGGTTTTTGGATGAGGTAATAGATCACGATATTTATACTATATAAACTGTAAAAATTCTCTCAAGTATTAAAATTCTTTACAGTTAGATTTACTAGAATTTGAAAACAGTGTACAATTATATACAAACAAAATAAACACGAGCTTAATGTTTAAACATATGGTTTATAAGCATCGTATTAAAATGAGAAGGCGAGCAGCTGAAAATTAAGAGAGTTTCCTCCTGATAGATTTTTTGTAATGTAACAACTTTGTTACTGGGTAGGAAATAAGTCAAAGATATCTATCTGTATTAAGGGCTTTAAAAAGATAATCTCACGAAATTCTACTGATTACCGTGTGTTTACGGCTCCGCTAAATTAGAAGACATCAATTCTTAAGGAGATAGATTATTACGGCAATTCAAAAGAAAAGTTCCAATAAGCGTATTAAACAACTATCTAAAATTTAATAAAGTAGGATAGGCCGCAAGTAATCATACATGTGTGGATCGATCACGTTTTTACGCTCTGTCAGAGCGTACTTTATCTGGACGGTGAGGTTTCCTAGTGTCCTCGAAGCAAGCAGGTGTGTGGTAGCATTTTCCCTCTCTGCTATTACAAATACGGGCCGTGCTTAACCACTCATCAGTGTGAGGGAGTGGTGGATGTTAGATGGCAGTATGTTTATAAAGCGGAGCGATTAACTTAGGAAAAAAAGCCTTCCCGCTTACGCCACAGGCTGATGACATCGGAGTATTGGCATGACGCCAGAGCATCTTATCGAGCGCCGGTCTACAGATACTATTAGCTAATCGCTCCGTCCTATGGGAAGGGAACAGGGATCACCTCCAACACACCAGAATTCCGGCACCGGACTACGGTTCCGTTGTCGCGGAAAAACCAAAATTAGGTGAGATGTCTGTTTGTACTTACTGGTAAACGTAGATTAAATATATACTCCTGACTGTTCGATAACAATTTTTACAGCCTGGATACCAAACGGTACTACGATTCAATCAAGTGTTTCTATTTTGCTCTACCCTGACTACCCGAAGGAAAGCAATCTTCCAGGGGTCTAAAACCAACCAGCTCTCCGCATCTTTTCTTCACACACCTCAAGCCAGGCACTCAACCTAGTCTTCTAGGGTCGCTCGGATGGAATTCCTTCATTTGTCTTCAGATATTTTGTATTTGGCTCTCTCTACCTCTACTTTGGAATGCGATCCTAAACGCTCGATTTTCGGCTTTCATTGACTTATTTCACGCAGTTCAGATCTATATCATTCGTCTCCCGGTATTCCATGTAGTTGAGACAAAACACGTACTCTTTTTGGACCGCATTATTCTGAAAACAAATGCACAACCGTTCCCTCATCTTGAATCCTGTTGTCAAAGAATTCCTCGGTGACCTCCTCATGTTCGGTTACCTTCACCTTGTGATGAACCGCCAAGAGTGATTAGTGAAAGATTGGCTCTCGAATGAATGCAATACGAAAATTCAAAACCAATTACATATTCCCCTGCGCTCAAGGAGGACTGATTATTATTCCGAAATGTGTGTTATTTCCTCCGGATCCAGGAGCATTCTTCAGGCTTCCTATATCTTTCGCTTCCCTGTGTCTTAATATCTTCGTGTCGACTGTCTTACTTTCTGGCCGGGCTCTGCCCGCTCTCTCGTATTCTTACTCCAATTATATACCTACACCGCGGTGCTTTCTGGATGTTGGCCAAGGTAGGGGAGAGAAGAAGACAGTCATATTAATGTATTGTCCGTATTACGCGAGTTGCTCCGGTGCCCTCCTCGCCTGGTTTCTGCTTTATAATTAAATTGTCGGCTTTAGGCACACCGGGATAAAAGGAAATTTCGGGCTCGGGACGACAATATTTTCCATATAAGACGGAAGACCGAGGCAGTCAATGCACGTGGCTGCGCTTTTCGCCTATTTGAGGGGCGAATATATGCTATGAGACCCTTTACTGACTCTGATGAGTTACGCCATAGCCGGTAATCGGCGGAGCTCCGTAGTGGTGTGTGAGAAGGAACGGTGACCAGGAAGATCCACCTCACTAGACAGAGTAGAATTCAGATAATTTAGACTCTTCTCCATATTTTTCGAAAAATGGAGGTTTTTAGGTGATGTATATTGATTGGCATAAGTGTGTTGTTTCGTCAATCTATATCATATGCGATTGATAGTTCTCTTGATTTATGACATTATTCTTTCTTAATGACTTATTGGATCATTCCGCACTATTTGAGGTACATTCAGACTTCCAACTCTTTGGACTTTATCTAACAGACGGACTGATTATTTTAATTTCCATTGTATATGGTTTGGCACTGGTTTTACAACTTTCTCCATTAAACCTCTGTATTTGGCAGTTTTGAGGTTTGTCAGGTGGGGAAACATTTGTGTTTTTGTATAGATTTGGCTTATTATGAGAAAATGCTTCTGGCCCTTTCCCAAACATATGTAGCAATTCAGAGTATGAATAATATGATATATGTTATCTCTAGAATGCTACCTTATTGAATTGGAGTTGTCTTTATATAGTTGGAGCTCGTTTATGGCAAGCCTTGCGGATTTTTATTAGTTGTGGCTCTTTTTTGTAATTTTTGTGAGATATGTTCTCTTGGTTTGTGTTTGGACAGGTCGTCTCTATTATTACGGTGTTACAATATATAGTATGATAGTGATTTAGGTGAAAATTGCATTGTTGATAGTCGTGTTCAGTGCTCTCAGTTGGTGCTATTGGGGGGCCATTCTCACGGAAGTCGTCCTCAGTGGGTGGACTACTTCTACTGTGGGGACTAGCTTAAATGAGCAATAGATCTCGAGAGTTGTGTGGACCTCCCCTAGTTAATTTAATCTTGAGGAATTTCGCTTTTCTACTTTAGGTACTCATAACACTTTGTATTGATGGTTATGTCCTGTGTTTTTCTTAGTCCTGAACATAATTATTTTTTTTTTAAAAAATTCTTCAACTGAATTTATTTTTTGTTTAAAAAAATTTGAACATAATTTAAAAAAAAAAACACAAAACTGACAGTTTATAACTATTAGAACCGCCGGTCGATTCTAACCGGCCGGAGAACCAGCAGTTCCAATCTAGTTCCGACCGATTTTTTGAAACTGTCGATTTCGGTTTCAGAAACCTGGAACCGAAACCGAACCAAAAATCTCCGATTACGGTTTGAAACCGATTCAAACCGATGGTTCTGATTCCCGAAACCGTAATATGGCCACCCTCAGTAGGGAGGCCGCAAAGTCTAATTATGCAACCCCGTCCATTTCAATTGGAACTATAAATTTAAGTGGGCCGATAAGTCCATTAACTGTAAATTTTCATTTAATTTTACTTATTACTAGAATAAAACTAATTCAAAAAAAGTTAATTTAAAATTTTAAGTGTATAAACTGAGAGAAACCGAAATAAATCGATAGATTTATTAAATTTATGAATAACTTTATAATTAAAAAATTCGAATTCGATACGTTTTACTCGCTAAATTAAATCAATTTTAAAGAGAATTAAAAAAAAATAAGCGTATTAAAAATATCTAAAATTAATAAAAGTAAAAAAAATAATTGGACATGTTTTTACGCGATATATCTGCACGTGGGAGTGTCCGAGAGGTGTGGGTTTCCGATACAAATAGGTTAACCACATAAGTGAGGAGATGATTATCTTATGCCACGAGGAATTAGGAAAGCCCGTTCAGTGAGGAATCGGGATGACGCACTCTTGCGGTCCAGATTTTAGCTATCGCGTCCTTGGGAAAGGATCACCCACACCCAACCAATACTTCAGTTTCGCGGAAAAAAAAATATGAGTCTGTTACTGTAACGAGTTATTTCCCGGGAAATTTTACAGCCTGATACCAAACGGTCTCACTAATTTCTATTTTCTACCCTGTACCCGCAAGCATCCAAATCTAACCCATTCATCTTCTTCAACCTCACCAGCACACTCTCTCTTTCCAGGATTCCTCTGTCTCAACATTGTCTTATTCTACTATGGATGATCCCACGATTTCACCATTGACAGTCCAGTCAGCTTCTTCGTCCCAGTTGAACGTTCCCACCACAATGCCACGCCCATCTCTGAATCTTGAAACCCTAACTCCATCGGACCACGTGAAACGCATGATCAATTCCAACCATTACATTTCCCCGTCGAGAACGATTTATTCCGATAGGTTTATTCCCAGCAGATCCAGCTCCAATTTCGCCCTTTTTAATATCTCGTCGTCTTCGCCGCCGCCCTCGACTACCAATCCTCCGGCTTCTGATGGAGGGAAAGAAGACAGCTCAAGTGCCTACGCGGCGCTCCTCCGCGCTGCTTTATTTGGGCCTTACACACCGGATAAAAGGGATTCGCCGGGACGCAATATTTTCCGATATAAGACGGAGACGAGGCAGTCAATGCACTCGCTTTCGCCTTTTGGATTTGATGAAGAGAGACCTGGAGTTAGCCATAGCCCGGTAAAGACTCCGAGGAAGGTGCCAAGATCACCTTATAAGGTAGATTCGTTTTATTTTATTTTTTTGAAAATCCGGTTTTTGAGATTTTGTGGAAATGTGTGTGTGTATATATATGGATTTGTCTTTGTTGACTTTCTTTCCATATTTGGTTCGTTTAGGTATTAGACGCACCTGCATTACAAGATGATTTTTATTTGAATTTGGTGGACTGGTCTTCTCATAATGTATTGGCAGTGGGGCTGGGGAATTGTGTTTATTTATGGAATGCTTGCAGTAGCAAGGTGAGTATTGGATCTAGAATTGCTACCATTTGAATTCTTCTTGTGCTCTCCTGGGATTTTATTTATGGCTTTTGTAATTTTTACTTGTTCTTGGTTTGGTGTAAATAGGTGACAAAATTGTGTGATTTAGGAATTGATGATAGTGTGTGCTCAGTGGGATGGGCTCAGCGTGGGACACATCTAGCTGTTGGGACTAGCAATGGCAAAGTCCAGGTTAGTAATAATTAGAATCGTTCTTTATACAAAACTTTGTGATTATGTCTGTGTATTTTAGTTTAATTGTTTCCCCACGGTACATTGATGTGGCAAAATGTCCTTGCAAAAAAAAATGATTACAAAATCAGAACCTGAAGCTGAAAGAGGCAAAATGAGAAAGAAAGTAAGACATTTGAAGCAATGTAATGTTAACAAGATGACGATTACAATAGGCCAAGAACTTGCAACTTCATAGGGAAGCTTCAAGAGTGAAGCTGTCCAAATTGGAGTTGAAGGACCTGATCCTTACTGTTCCTTGAGTCATGCTAGAAGCCAAGCAGGCATAAGCCTTCTGGAGTCTGCTCTTGGTCAGAATTGTGTTCTAGTAGTTTGCTTGGCCCTAATAGTCATATATAGCTCTTTAACTCTGAGAAGTCTTTTGATCCAAAATCTTGGGTGCACCAGAAAGATGATTTAACAATCATTTTACTTTTCTTATGAGTTGGCAATTTGTGAAATTGTTTAACCATATACTCATCCTTCAGCCTAGTAGCTTCTTATATCACCAAGTTAATTCACAAGTTTTTCAGCTAGGGACTCATCCGACTCCTCTTTAATCTTTAATATCCATATTGTCATAAAGCACTTGGATGCACCAATTGTCTATCTCACAGGTTCTTGAAGTTGAAATTGGCTTCAACTAAATTACCCCTGCTTCTTAGCTTAATAACTTGATTGGGTTTACAAGTTACCTGTCAAGTGTGGAATCTTTTTGTTGTAAGTGACAACATTCCTATTTCCTAGTAATATATCAGTGGGAAAGTAGAGAAAAGTAAATAGCAAAAGCCACAAGTAAAAGCACATAGAAATTTAATCATGGTTGGTTTAAAATGAATGTCCATTGGCCATTGTGAAGTATAGGAGTTTGTATAACTACTCAAGTGATTGGAGCCATTGATGCCCTTTGTTCATATGAATATTTTGAAAGCCAACCATTGGTTACTGATGAAGTGATCATATTGAAGAACTGAAAGCCCATGTGATTATGAAAATCAGGCTTCTGTCTTAAATTGAATAACACCCATGTTAATAAAGTTGGTATTTGAGCTAATTTGCACATGTGAAGGGTAAGGCATTGAATCAGCATATGTCAATAAACACATGTCTGCCAATTTGCTTTAAGAAGTTGTATGCAAGAATTAGCTCAATAAAGCCAGGTGTCAAATGCACATTAAAAGCTGTAGGCATGAAGATGCATTTCTTTTCAGGTTGCCACCATGCACTTAAAAACTAATTTTGTGCTTTGTTCTAAGCTTAACAGAAAGCTGGAGATGGTAACTTACAGAACACAAGAAACACAAAAGACTTAGAGTTTTCCTGAGAGAGATTTATGTGTACTAATGGGTTCAAGAGACAATTTGAGTGGTCTTGTAATTTCTCATTTTCACACTTGAGTTCTAGGCAAAAGAAGAATATAAGGAATGACTATGGATATTCAAAATCCTGAATACTGTAATTTTGCATACTTGTCATGATGATACTAAAATATAGTTTGAGGACATCTCATTAGATTCAGCTGGAATTTATTCCCTGTATAATATCATGTCATTATTCTTGATTAATTTGGGATCTTGGTCCACTGCATTGTGTTGTAATTTACTGTAAAGGGTAGAATAGGGGGGGCAGCTATAATGTACAACCAGCAGCACACTTCGTCTCTAGGAGGAATTTGGAAGGCAACTTGGTTAACCTTCTGTAACCTTGTTTTCAATCAATTATGAGAACATTTAGTTTACGCTTTCGATTATATTACATTACGATGTTATATAATGTAAAGCCGTAATATAATGTAATCAATTTCATTGCTAATGTAACACTTTTGATTACATTATATTACATTTGATTATAAACTTACCAAAATAGCCTTAGTCAAATATAAATATTCCTTTGATATTTAACATTATATCTCTTCTTACTGTGGCAAAAAGATATGTTTCTGAACTAAGCATTAACTCTTCCCCCCTAGAGTTTGAAACTAATACATGAACGAGGTCCCTTAGGAAACCATATTCTTCTTGAAAAAAGACCTTGTTTCATGCAAAGCACCCAATTCAACGTTTTGCCTTGATTTTGGAAGGTCACGAGCCTTATGGTACTCTGTCTGGTGTTTTTGGTTCTGGGCAGTATCAAGGAAACATTGTTTTTATACTGCCATTATGCGAAACATTGTCATTATGCTTTATTATATTAGGCAATGGTATGCTTCCTGTCCTCATTTTGCTAGTAACTTTTATCATTATGTGTGTAGATCTGGGATGCATCTCGCTGCAAGAGAGTAAGAACCATGGATGGCCATAGATTACGTGTTGGGGCTTTGTCCTGGAGTTCATCTCTGCTGTCTTCTGGCAGCCGGGATAAGAGTATTCTTCAACGGGATATACGTGCTCAGGAAGACTTTGTTAGCAAACTCTCTGGACACAAGTCAGAGGTTGGACTTTCAACATTTTCAACTTGACTGAACATCTGGCCAATTAACTTCCCACTTGGCTAATCATGTTCATTTTGGACTCACTTGGAATCTTTATTCTGCTTTTGCATGCTTCTCCATTGATTTATTCTATCAATTATTTTTGTTTTTTTTTTTTTAATTTATCTATGCTGCCTGTTATTCTATACATTGAATATGATTATTGTCAGCTAATAACAACTTATTCTGATGCAGGTCTGTGGATTGAAGTGGTCTTATGACAATCGTGAGTTGGCATCTGGTGGGAATGATAATAGAGTAAGTGATGGTGTCATTTTTATGATTGCTATATAAGTATTCACTTTTTCCTCTATTAATTTGTCATCCATATGCAGCTTTTTGTTTGGAATCAACATTCAACTCAACCTGTCCTAAAATACTGTGAGCATACTGCAGCTGTAAAAGCTATTGCTTGGTCACCCCATCTTCACGGACTTCTGGCATCTGGGGGTGGGACTGCTGATCGGTGTATAAGGTTCTGGAATACAACCACTAATTCACATCTCAGCTGCATGGATACTGGCAGTCAGGTGTGGTGCTTATTTTATTTTCTATTTACACTCACATGGGTTGGCAGGGAAACTATTCAAGGGAATTGTGTCTTCAAATTGATTTTCTTTTGCTAGTAGATTCATGCAGCTAAACTAAAATTGTTTGAAACTAGTACAAGAAGTTGTTCTTTCCCCTCTCATGGCTCATGCAACCTCAACTTGTTGAATTCGGTTACAAACTTCAATTGAACTGAAAGTCATTGAAAGGTGTACTACAAGATCAAGTAAAAATTATGTACTTACAAAAACAACCACGCCGTCTGAGTGATCACTAGAAAAGGAAGACTAGTTGTCTACCTGCACGTGCCATAAATTTTACTATATCCGACCATATTCAAGAAAGGAATTATGAAAGGGTGAATGGGGTTGGGGGGGCAACCGGTCGTGTTATGCTTCACCTCTCCTTTCCTAGGACCTATCATAATTATGTTTCTTCATAATCCATAAATTGAAACACATTCCTTGAATTTTGCCCATAACACATTTTCAAGAACCAATGTATATATTTTTGGTATGTTTTAAGCATACATTTTCAAGAACCAATGTTGTAAGCATTATCATTATCGAATCACTAGTTATGGTTGGGCTATTTATTCTGCGAGTTACTTTTACAGTTTTCTTTTACAATGCTTTTTTTCTGGAAAAAAATTACAGAAAGTGTGTTATGGGCGAAACTGAGAGAAGAGACTATGATAATATGAAACACCACTATTTTTAGGATAAGCACTGCTGAAACTTATCAAAAATGAAAGAGCAAAGCTACTGCTAAGTTAATCATAAATATGAAATAAGGGCAAACAGAAAATGGTCCCTCCTCTGTCTCTCCTCCCCCTGCACCACTTACTACCACCACCAGCACCAGCACCAGCACCACAAATACTTGAATGTACTGATTTCTACTTTTTAAATATGTCAGGTGTGCAATCTTGTGTGGTCTAAGAATGTCAATGAACTTGTCAGCACACATGGCTACTCTCAAAACCAAATAATAGTATGGAGATACCCTGCCATGTCAAAGGTACAAAAGTTGTTTGTGTTTGAATATGTAAAATCTTCTTTTGTTGAATTTATCTTAAGGCTTATTTTCCTGATGCAGTTGGCAACTCTTACGGGCCACACTTACAGAGTTCTTTATCTTGCCATCTCACCTGATGGACAGGTACTTCATCCTTCGTAAATAGTTGTAGTTGATCTTCTAAAAATAAGCAGTCATACCAAGTATTTGTTTTTATATTAATGCATCTTCTTTTTCTAAGCTACATGATAACTATTTATGTTTCAGACCATTGTCACGGGAGCAGGAGATGAAACTCTACGGTTTTGGAATGTGTTCCCATCTCCTAAATCTCAGGTAAATTCTTTATTTGATTATGATTATTATTAATTAAGTCTCACCCTCTGTGCTTTGTAGGCAACTGCAGCTAAATTCGATATAATTAAATATTGTTTTAATATTTATACTTTCAGTATTTTTTCATAGTGTATTTTTAACCAAATTTTTGTTAAAGCCAAATATAGGTAGTTTTTCCCCAGCTAATTAAATCAGAGGGTGCTTCTGTACTGCTATTTTGCTATACCAATATCGTGAGTTCACTATATATCATAGGTGTGATTGTCTGAGGAGAAAACATAGTTCTTATTGCATATTCTTAAAACATCACTTTTCCTGAATTATTCATCTAGCCTTGCAGAAAACTAACTGCATGAATGGATTAAAATTAATGCAGAATACTGACAGTGAGATCGGCGCATCATCTCTAAGAACGACAATCCGGTGACTAATGGCGAATGCTTTTTGTTAAATATCTTGGGGGCTGTTTCAGCAGAGGCTGTAAAGGTCGTAAATATATCATGAGCTTGGAGCGTACAAAATGACCCCCATCAGATTGGTTTTCTCGAACCAATTTGCAATCAGCCTGGAAATTTCAGGAGTCTGAAACGGCTTAAAACACGAGTGGGGATATGATGGAATCTCTTAATGGTTTCTGCAAAATTATTAATTTTGTTTTTTGGTTCCTTTGATTTATAAATTGTATAGTGGGAGGTGTTTGTTTGTATTATTAAATGCTTCTTGCAATTGTATACCAATCAACAGGGGACATCAAAAGATGTTTTAGACATTTTTCTGTAGCACATATTCATAATTTTTGTAAATAAATTATTGTTATTAATCCATATTATTCTAATTTCTATCCAGTAGCAAGATACTTGTAGTGTTTGTAAAATTTGAAAGTCTTTGTCCTGTTATCTTCAGAACTTGCATGCGAGGAAACACATACATGAAGGGGATTGCAGACACACAAGAAACAAGATAATTTGTTAAAACCATAAGTTCAATAGTCATTCTACAATAAAAGAAAAATCCCCATAAATAAAAAATAAAAACAAGAGTTCCCTATGCTGTGTGTAATACATATTCACAGTTCAGGCTTTATAGATTATTATATACAGTAGAAAATACAATTAAACAATCAGGTAGTACTAGCACTAGTAATAGTAACAGTGGACACTGGACAGACAATTTTTAGGGTTGCAAGGTGCTTTTTGAAAGATCTGATGGTTGCCCTGAATATTTTTCAGTAGCAGTAGTCATGTGGGGTTCTTGTGACCATGGAATTAGGCTGATTGGTGGAAAACAACATTCACAGTTGTCGTTGCATTGCTCTGGTAAGTCCCAATTACTTGCTGGGGTTGCCTGCTGGCTGTTTTCATGGGACCCATTGTCCCCACAAGAAGATGGCCTTCTTGCATCCTTTATTGGACCCCAGCACTCTGCTCTGTTGAATTCTGGAATGTTTGAATGGAAATAAACCCAAACCAATGCCTCCTGTAATTCTGGGTAGAAGTTGAATAAATTCCCATCTCCATGGACAAACGCCTTCAAAACCTACCCATTAGAAAAAGATAAAAAATTAAAAAAGATCCCATTTATTAGTGATGATTAATTCACTTATTAAGATAAATTGATCGCATATTTACCACAGGGAGTTCTTTGCAGAAGATGAAATATCTAAGCTTAGCACATAAATCTAATAAAAAATGGCCTCCACTTATATGACAGTGAACGTGAAGAGACATCTTTCCCTTCACTTTCTTCCATTCTGCAACCACTTCATCTCTGTACAACTTGTTCGCCCATCCTTGCAACTGCAACAAAATCCCATTTCATATTTGTATTTTCCCTTCGATTTTCAATGTTGATCAAGAAATGATCGTCAAGTCAAATTCAAGCAACCAATTTAAATCCACGCAAAATTGCAAATACTCTGTTTCTAACTTTCACTGTGATATCTACGCAACCCATAGATACACTTTCTGTTTGTCTTAACCAAAAAGATTAAATATTTCCCCAAATCTCATATATTTATTTTATGGCTTAATATAACAATAGCGTAAAACTTTCAAAGTTGCTCTGTTTTCTCTGTTTTTAATTCAATCTATACAATAAAAGACTCCAGCCTTTGAAAAAAAAAAAAAAAACTAAGAATAGGGTTCCACAAGTCAAGGATTTCTTAATTAAAAAAAAGCATGATTTAGCAGGCCGCTATTGCAGACCAAGAATTACCTGAGAATTATTTATTGTTTGTGAGATAGCCAAAGTAAGCCTAGCAGTAATATCACTATGTGTTAGTGTATAAGTCCTCGGTAGCTTTGCAGGATGCTTCTTTTCATCAACCCCTACAAACAACACCTTAAGCTTTGATGCTTCAAAAATCGATGGCCCAAATAATCTGGCCACCTGATCCAATCAAAATCCACATATAAAAATCAATCTAAACTCCAAAGCTGGATTTTTAGAAAAAAAAATAAAACAAAAAAGGTAAAAACTTACAGGACTAATAGACATGCTCTTCTTCTTGACTTTTCTTCTGGAAGGAAACAGAGGACGATTCTGTTCAAGAACAGAGGGTTTTGGATTTGAAGGTAGGAGAGGAACAAAGGTACCCATCTCTCTTTCTTTCTTCCTCTCTTCACTCTGTTAAGAGCCGTAACTAAAACTTGTAGTATCCCCCAATTATTTAGGACATCCAAAAATGGAATCTCAATGAAGTATTATATTGGCTAAAAAAAACAGTCAAAAATACAACTGATATTGGAGGCTTGAAACCTTTTCTTTTGCTCTTTCTGTCTTTTGCTTTGCTTGTTTTTAAAACTTTGAACTGGAGACTTTGAAGCGTCAAATTTTGGACTTTAGACCATAAAGACAGAACAAGTTGGTACGTTTTAGACTCCGAAAGTTTGGCTTTCGATGGCGTGCAGGTAACAATAGTTATCGAAAGCCTTTGGCCAATTGCTTCCAGTAGCTTCCTACTTGTCAATTAGACAAATAGACACGTAGTCGTTAAATTTGTCATGCAATGTTAGATGTTACGAGCACCATCTTCATACTTCATATGTCATTGTTTGTCTAAACTGCCTTTGCTTGCCTTTGAAGGTGAAGCTTTGCGGTTAAAATTTCCATGTAGATTCAGTAGCAAGGATGGAATTCGAATTTTCTTTTCTTTTTATATTTTTTATTAGATTTTCCAAGAATATATGAGAGAATGTTTTACCCCTTCAACCACTATTTGCTAGAAGTTATATATATATATATATATTTTGAAATGGAACTAGAAGTTATATATATACACACACACATTATAAACATTTTCTATATGCAATCAAAATAAATTGGACTAATTCTTTTATTTGGAAAATAAAAAATTATTATAACTTATTTTAAATTGTTTTTAAGAAAAAAGTCATTTTCAAAAAAATTAATCATGTAAAGATTATATAATTTGTATTTAAATATATAATATTATTTCAAATAATCTTATAATAAATGTACCTAATTTTATTTCAAATAAATAAAATTTAATTATTATATAAGATTATTAATTGAAATTGAACTCAAATAAATCTTCTAATAAAATTTTATGAAATTCATCTAATTGAAAGCGTGTATTTTCATGTTTAAAATATACGAAAGCTTGTTTATGAAAATTTTATATTTTTAATCATTATATTTAAATCAAATCATATTAAAATTAATAAAATTTGTAAAATTTAAAACTTAATTAATAAATAAGGGTTTCAGGTTTTCCTACAAAATCTTTTGGCTATAGTTAGAGCTTTTTGTTCTGGATTAGTTCTTACTTCATTTGCAATTGGAAGTAGCACATGTCTCACTTACCTAAGGATTAGAGTGAAAAAATGAAAAGGGGTAGACTTGGTCAAATTTGGAAAACTGCATGTAAACTATAGAATTACGCAATTACGTGAATTTGTACTTCCTCATTCCACTTACTTCATTAATAATCAATATTAATTATACTAATTAATATCGAAATTACAAAATAATATGAATACAAGCAGCAACATAATAGCATACGAAGAAGCCCAACAAGAACTTTCAGAATCAGAATAAACAATCTTCATTTTGCTAATATGTGTAGTGGAAGCTGAAGCCCTCCTTCTTGACAGCTTCCATGGTTGCTGCTTCTCCCTGGCATAAAACAAGAACAGCATTCTTTTGGAAGCCTCAAAAATGGCGGGCCCTAATAATCTTGCAACCTGCGGATCATGTATATATCATAACACAATGAAAAACCCACAAAAATCAAGACCAGAAAATAGATAAAAGTGAAAATACAACACATACAGGAGCGAGAAATAGGTTCTTTTTGATGGATTTTGTTAATCTTGGAAGAAAGAAGGAACTGTTGTGTTCAAAAAGAAGAGGTGTTCTTGGCTTTGCAGAGAAGGCAGGACCAAAACTCAAAGCACCCATCATCTTCTGGGCTGTCTTTCTTGATCTTTCCGTTTCTGTTCTCCACATTTTAGGATGCGACAACGTCTATTTCTTTCCTTCTTTGAAAAAGATAAATCAGGCAAATTAACCAAAGCAGACGGAAACAAGATTTGGCTTTTTCTCGTTTTCTTGATTTTGCTTTCACTTTGCAACGTAATCGCATTAGGCGTGTCCAAGTTTTGTAGCATTAATTTTTCATTTGAAAACAAATTAAAAAGCTCACGTGTTAGAGTTTTAAGTTATGAAAGTTCATGCTGAGTCTTTTTCATTAAATTAATAACTCAATTGAATAATCGCATTTATTCTGAGAAAATATTTCTAAATATTGTTTTGTTTATAACTACCTCAATAATCACAAATTGAAAGAAATAAAATGTTCATATATTGTTTTTAAATATTCTTATAAACTCAAAGATTTGAAAGGGTTTTTGCACAAATAATATTTATGTATATATTTGTAGATATAATTAATATATTCACAAATTAAAGAAAAACACAAAATAAGTTCTAAAATTATTAGTAAAATAGTGTCGGTGCATAAATATATATTTGGTGGATAAGGGGATTTAATGCATAAAAATATAAAATTATTTTCACATTTTAAAAAAAATATGAACATTAAAGTATATATATATATATATATTTTTAAAAAAAATATTTGCAAATTAATTGGTTTTTATGCTTCCAAGCATTAATGGCAAAGTTAGTTCATCATACTAATTTCCAATTTAAGTAAAGTTACAATTTCATTTCGTAAGAGATGTGTAAATGCAAACAACATCATTTTTTGCTTGGATTTGATTTTTACTACGGAAGTTATGATTTTTTTTTTTTCTGTTTTTCTTATTTTTTTCTTTTTATGGTAAGAAGAAATCTTCGAATGTATTGTTTATCGGGTTTTTTCACTAAATATTTTCAAGCTAAATTAGATATATTGGGAAATCCTAATAATCAGTCTGACTTAAATATTTAGTGATGTTAATATTTTTCGGATATTAATAATAAAAGAAAATTAGTAGATATTTGTGCTATTATCATCTACAATTTTGCAATATTGAACATGTTCACGTTAGAATATGAAGTATGTGACAAGTCAACTTAAAAACACACATGTGGTTCTTTAAAACACCCCATGTGGTTCCTTAAGAACATCCGTGTGATTTTCTCGCTCAAATTATATTTGTCAAATATTGAAAAAAAAAAAAAAATCATATTGTCTTAAAAAAAGAAACTCATGATCTTCCTTTTCCACATTCCAGTCCAAGAAAGAAAAACAATTCTCATCCCTTTGTCACTTCTCTTCACTTTGTAACTCCTCAGACATAATCTTGTTGCTCTCCAGCATTTTTTTTAACTATTAAACTTGGAAATTGAATCCAATTTGCAGTTTTTTTTGTTATTTTTTATTTTCTTCATCTTTCTGTAAAATAAAAATTTTTATTTTACCGTTTAATTTCTTGAACACAACCAAATTAAGATCTAAAACTACATGAGAACGAAGCCCAATATCCCAAAATTGTTTTATTCATTCCTCTATTTTACAGTTGAAAATGGGATTGAAGCGCCAACAATTTTTTTGCTTATAATTACCTGAAAGTCTGAAGCCATAAGCACTTTCCTTTTTTTTCTTTTTCAAAAAAAAAGATCGAAGAAACTTTTGTTTAGCTTTCAATTATATCAATACACTTCTTCCTTGCTTAAATAATGAATCCTGCAAGAAAAGCATTATTTGTTTAGTTTATTTCATCTTCTTTGGGCAATTGATGGAGAAAAAACATTTCTCTTTGGCTCTTAAAGTCGTGTCAAAGGCTCAAAAAGTTGCAAACCCACTCCAAATAATTAGGAGACTAAAGATTGATTTTACTTAATTATCGGGGCAAACTCAATTTTTTTTTCTTTTTACACTATTTACACAAACCCTTCAAAGCAACTCTTTCCAAAAAATTGTAAAAAGAAAAAAGAAATGATAGAGAAAAATAAAAATGTAAGTAAGAATATTATAATACAATAATATTGGAAGAATATACGTACAGTGGCTCACAAAAGTTTTTTTGCTGAGTTATCAATCAATTTTCACAGCTTTAATGTACTGCTTTGGTTATATATATAAAACATATATGGGATGTGTTATTTTGTCAAAAAAAAAAAAAAGAGGAAGAAGAAGAAGAAGAAACAGTAGCATTACGTAATGGGTGGAAGCAAATGCATGCTTAAGTGACGAAAGGATCATCACATTCCTACGGTTTTTGGGCAATTCGTGTCTCAGGCGGACCTATGAACAATGCTGTCTCCACCTCCATGCTTTCTCTGTCTGCTACTTGTATTTGTTGCTTCTTTGTTGACAACTCCATTGGTTGCATCCCACACTACAAAAATATTTATCAGCCAAACGGAGATTAAACGCTAATAAATTAGTATTATCGATGCATAAATTGTAAGAATTTTAAGTGCCAAAATAATACACCGTATCAAATTTCAAATACTCAATCCCTTCAACGACTAATTATTCAAAAATATTAGTAGAATTAGAATTAAAATTAGGAGATGGAATGGGAAGTTTTTATACCTTCTCTCGCAGACTTGTATTTTCTTCCAACAGAATTTTCTCCTGAAGTATATATGTGGTGGCGATTAACAGCAATTAGCAAATGTTTGAACAAATTAAAATCTAAACCATAAACATAATATAGTTTACCTCTTCCCTTAGCTTCTCAATTCGCTCCCTGAATAGCTGACCCTGAATGCATGCAAAGTAAATTATAAGATCCTAATAATATTATATCTATATAAAATTTTCAATCTCTTCTACTGTCATGCAAAGTAATTTGCATAATATTTGATAATGAAAACATTTAGGAAAAAGTACCTTTCTTGCCCTAATTCTGGTTAAACTTCGCTCCAGCTGATTCTCTAATTGCTGTAGCTCATCAATTGGACATGGTTCCAATCCATCTCCTAGCATTTTTCTGCAAATATATATATACAACTTGAAGACTTTAAAAACAAATTACAGTTCTGAGAATTAAACTACTTCATGAATTCTTCAAACCAATAATTAAATTAAAGGCAAGAGTCAAATTAAAGGCTTGAACCGTTTAGAAACTTCAAGATGCTCGATCTTCTTTCCCAAGCTAAGAGTATCTTCTTTTATATTCTGCATGCAAAAGAAACCGAGTTTCCTTTTCATTAATGTACATCTAGTGCATGGTTCTCTGATATCATATCATAATCATATCAAGCACTTGCATCTTTCAGTAATTGCAAATCATCGCAACTGATAATTTATATTTTTATGGGTAAAGCAGTATCACCTTACAACTTTTTCAGTCTATTTCTTTGAGCAGAATAGGAAAAAAAGGTCATATCTATAAGTTATCTAACTAAAAACCTGTCGTCAAACTAGTTTAGGAATCCATTATTCACATCTCTAAATCAAATTAATGGAAGAAGAGTGACCTGCATGTTTTCTTGAACTGCTTTGATGCTGATTCCAAGATCAATCACTTTCTTCTGATACCGCTCTATGGTCTTATTCATGCTGAAAAGCAAAACAAGAACAGAAATGAGAGGGTGAGGCAAGAAGCAAGCTACTATTACTCGAAGAAATTTTTAACATTAACTTATCAATGTTCATTAACAAAGAGAAAGCAGCCGATGTATGGACCTTCTCTCTCACAATCATAAACTTCTCAACCTTCATCCAATCTTAACCAACTCTAAACTGATTATATATATGTTAAATATATACTTGCATGCAAACTCAAGTATAAGCCATTAAAATAACTTCTTCTGCTCCACCATTAAATAGGAGGATTCCATTAATTTAAGTATTCTAATATGAAGCATTAAAAAATTTTAAATTCCTTCTGCACCAAATTAAGAAAATAAAATTTTATTTGAGAATGAGCAACAAATGTGTTTTAAAATTTATGTCTATATACATGAAAATTCATTTCAAATTTTATTTCATTAATTTCATAAAATTAATTGTAATTGAATCAAATCTTATAAAATTTGATAAAATATAAAAATTAACTCTAACTTAGTAATATTATAAAATTAACAATGTGAAAATTAAGTATTCATTTACATATTGCAAATGAATCTTATTAAGAAAAATTATTTACAAATATATTTTCATATTTGGATCAACTATATAATTCTTTATAAATATGTAGATTTATTAATTTGTTTTTAAAATTCATTACCCTTTCGTAACTTGTACCTCTTTTAAATTTAGAGTTGATTTGCAAATTCAATCAATTTTGATATATGGTCCAAATATAACTAATTTCAGAAAATTAAAAGTTGTAGAAATCTAAATGAAGTTTCATTTATGCCAAATATGAAATTTTGAATTTTTAAATGAATTTAATAAAGTTTTATAAAATTTATGTGTACCAAATAGACTTAAAGTTCATTTGAATAACAAATCTACTAATTGGAAATAATTATTGATACTTCATAATTTTATAGTTAAAAATATATCTTTAAATTCATTTTTATTTGTTTAATTATCTATTAGAATGAGTTAATGAAATTCATTTATAAATGAAATAAATCTTGAATATTCTCAAATGGAATGCATCTCCTTTATGTCAGGCTCCCTCAACTCAAGCTTGGATTTCACCAAGATCCTTCCTTCAATTTGTCTCCTTGCCTAAAATTTAAACAATACAAACAGCAGAGCTTTGGTTATAGAATTCTTACACATCTGACTCTTTGAGCTTTGTTATACTCTCAACAAGACATGTTAACATTAAGATTATAAGAAAATAGATTTTTCATAAGATTATAAGACATATACGAGGATCATTAAGATCATCACATATGATTCCAAATACTAGGAAATATGAATATGGCCTATAAAGAGAAACCTATAAAAAGCAAATAATTTAAGTTAAAATTTTAGATTAGACTCTATTGATTCTCTTCCTAAACTTTTTCTTTTTACCTTTTTGTTAGTTTTGAAGCAACAAAAAAAAAAAAAATACTTTACAACAAAAATATAAATGAGACTAATTTTTCGAGACACCCATACATAAAAAAACTGGTGGGACGAAATGAATACATAACTGAATGAATTAATTCCACAGAGATTAAGTGACTCTTAGAAAAAATATTACATATTTAATGGCTGAACCCAATTTGGTGGGAGGAGCATGTATTAAAATGAAAGATTTTTCTTCGAATCACTACTCTTAAAGTATGTAAGCATGAAATATAAAATTTTTTTAATGGTCTCCTCAGAGGGGTGAGGGGAGCTGAAGTCTCTGCTTCGAGTTCTTTTATCTAATAATATAATAGACTTTTCATAAATTTATTGAGTTGCTCGAAAGAAAGATTTAACCTTATTATATAACAGTGCTTCAACCCATTTAACTTAGAAAAAGTGATGGATAATGAGGCGTATACATGATGATTAACAAGTTCTAGAGCATGAAGAGCTCATTTATTTATTCATCTTACTAAAGAATATTCAGTAGCTATCTATCAATAAAACAAAATGAAATATACAAAGTAAATAATGAGTTTGGATTCAGAGGAATTAGGTTGAGTTACAGAAACATATATATGGTTTAAAAGATTTGGTTAGTTCAATCTTATATAAGAAGGCAGTCTAGCTACAAAACTCCCCAAATAAGCAACAAGAACATGGTTTAGGATTATCAATCAAATATAGCAATAATGTAACAAGAAAACAAACTTTGGATATTAATTAATATCCCCATTATATTCATATATCATTCAGAAGCTACAGTTTTGACACAAACAACAATGTAAAGTGACTCGTGAACCGATAATTTAATCAAAGACAAACTACAGTTGGAGAAACAAATGCTTGTCCTAAGTTATTGGGAGTGAGTACTGTTTAAATTGTTAAAGCGTAATACTCAGTTATTATAATGTGGTTTATCAGTAATTAATCTGTGGTCACAAATCAAACAAGTACATTTACCAACAGAGATAGTGGTCATCTTGGAGAAAGCAGTTTGTTTCTTTTCAGAAGCAAAATTGTAATTTTATAGATAAAAGATAAATTACAAGGCAAAAACCACCTCTATCTCATAACCCCCAAAATAGCCCAGTCAGATATTTTCTCCTACTTCTATTAATTATTATTATTATTATTACTATTACTATTATTTTGGTCGTTTATAATTTATTCTTAATTAAACACCTTTCTTAACAACTTCTAATTAAAAATTAGTTGTAACTATGTCAACAGCAAAGTTTCATAAACAGTGTAGATTATTTAGTGATCTTGAACGAGAAAATACGTTTGTTTTTAATTTCTTGCCTTGTTTTCATTTACTTGAAGGTTGTGTTTATATTAGGGTAAACAGGTTCCCACTTGTTTGAAGAGTATGCACATGGAATAGCAAAATGATAAAGGAAAATTTCTCTTTCTTGAGCATCCTCCTGTGGGAGTTTTATCTATGTCTCTTGCATGATGTTTGTGGGACTACTTCCTCCACAATCTGTTTTTAGGTGTTCTTTTTTAGCTTTGCTCTCCCTTTGTACCCAAAAAAAAAAAAAAAAAAAAAAAAAAAAAAAAAAAAAAAAAAATGATAAAGGAAAATTTCTCTAGTGATTATTTTTCCTTCTGTGAAATAAATCAACAGATCTAATCAATGAACCCTAATGCAAGATCTCTTTCTTTTCTTTCCTTTCCTTTTATTTCTTGTTTTTCCTGATCATTATGACCGACATCGACCCACGAAATTGAAAAACAATATATAGGACAATTGAAATCAATAAGGTACCGACAAATCAAAATGAAAACCCAACACAGAATCACTTGGTTAGATTTGATACCAAAGAGGAGAAAGCAGATCAGTCTCTTCAAATTTGTCTGATAAAAGCCTGAAAGCTTGTACTCTCCACTTAGTACTAACCCACTGGTTATCTACCCAAAGAGTGGGGGCCTTTCCTTTGTAGTTTTTATAGATAAATTAAAGGCCGAGATTAATCGAGTCTTTTTCAATATATATTATCAAATAATTTGATGCCGAAAGATATTAGTAACAGGAAAAGAATAATAAAAAAAAAAAAGATTTCTCATATATATACTAATTTGGAATTAAAAGATGCAAGAACTGTACCTGCAACTGGAGAATTCATAAAGCCTTCCTCTTGGAGAGAAAATAATAAGTGCAACTTCTGCATCACAAAGAACCGAGAGCTCAAATGCCTTCTTTAGAAGTCCATTTCTTCTCTTTGAAAAGGTTACTTGTCTGCTTGTTGCGTTCTCTATTCTCTTCATCTGGGTCTTTCCTCTCACCATCTTCCTTTCTTTCTTTTTATATAAATCTGCAAAATAAAGAAAAATCAAGGTATACTTAAGAGAAAGTGAAGGAAAATAGCTCAAGAAGGAAAGGAAAATGGTTGATCCTGTGTTTTTAGGAAGTGAACATTGACTCATAGAGACCTAATGTATCCAAGACTTGCTAACAACTATGCAAGACTCAGATTTAAGGTTTCCAAAAATAGAAAGAGAATAATCAAAAATTTGGTCAAATTAGGAAATGCCTGACAAGAAAACTGAAACCTTTATCTGTAATAGTAATGAAGGAGCCCAAGAAAAAAGAATTCTGTGGAATTTTTAAAGACCCAGGAAAGAAAGAATTGGAAGATCACATACAAACCCTAGAAAGATCTTGGCAGAAGAAGAAGAAGAAGAGGAAGATAAGGAGAAAGATTGTTTAAAGATTACCCTAGCACTTGCTGCCTATAACCCTAGAAGTGTATATCTAAATAAAATTGAATAAAGAAAAGAAGCAATACATCAAGAACCTAATCTCTTTCTCCTTTTGGTAAATTGAGATAAAAAAACAGACACCTCCCAAAAAAAGAAAACAGAGAATATGACTTAAATGGGTGGCCAAATGCCAATATCATGTGATTCCCATTATTACTCCACCCAATAAAACACACATCAGGTTGCACCAAAAGTTTGATGCCTATTCTCTTATTCCATGACACCTGGCCTTTGAGAACTGACAACTTCCTTTTCCGGTATCCAACACAGCGGCAAAAGCCCATGTGAAGGCCAAGACAACGAACATTCTTGTCGGTTGCCAGTTCCTCTCAGACAGTTTCCCATCCTTCAAACGCTCCAAAGGGTTGCATGAAAAATCTGCGCACTCTATGGACACTTTAGCACAAAGTTCTGGTAAATGGTGAAACATAAGCAAATAAACTCTGTACCCGTACAAGGTTTGAAGCCACGTCAGTATCGTTCCGTACAATGACATAGAGTGCTCCTCCAATTATATCGTGCCAGCACATCATGTCACGTGGATCCTCCTCGTTTGGCCTCTTTGTGTATACAGTATACCGTATCCACATACTCACGTGCAAGTTATATATATAAACCGTTGGATGACTATTCAACGACTCAGATTTTGGTGTACACGTGAGATTGCTGACGCGTGAATAATTCCGATTTTAAAACAGTTATTATTTTTATATGGGGTTTTTATTAGCTGTGTTTTTGTCAGTGTGTGCACAGTGCACCACGGAGTTGCTGGCCTAGCTAGTCTTTTCATGTAGCGGTTCTGTGGGGACCATTGGTGCAGTTGGGCAATGGGTTGGGCTGATGGTGGAGTCCTTCTTTTTTGTTTTCTTTTTTTTTTTTTTTTTTTTTTATTGATAAATAGTGCTCCCATTTTCCTGATTTTTGTTTTTTTTTTTTTTTTTTTTATTGATAATAGTGCATCCCATTTTCCTGATATTTCTATAAACCTTCAAAAACATACTCATAAAGAATTTGAAGAGAGAATCAGATACTAAATTAAACAATGTCAAGATTCAAATTTCCAGCATTTTTTATTCTTTAATTTAATTAAATTTTCATTAAGGTCTGAGTATATAATTTTATATTTGATAAATAAAATGATTGAAAAAATTATATTATTAAACTAATTTAAATTTGTATAATTTATTTATTAATGAATTGAAGAACTTAAAAATTAAAAATTCAATAATTTAATAAAATATTATCCATCATGATTTTTTTTCTTTATTGCAACAATTTTTTTTAGTAGCATTTAGCGTTTTGACTAATTAAATAAATGGCATTTAAAAAATTATTCGGTAACATAATGTTTGCACTAACTTTTAGAGATTAGAGTAGCATTGAGTAAAAAATTAATTTATGTAACTAGGTTTTACAGATTAGGATAGCGTTGTGTGAAAAAATTAATTTATGAAACATTTAACTTTTAACGTTTCATAAAAAATTATTCAAACAGTTACCAGATCCTAAATAAAATCAATTTTATTTTATGAAGATACAAATTTATTTTTATCTAATTATAAAAAGATAATAGTGACCGTTTGTAAAAACTTTTGCAACTAGTTGATGAAATCAGTATTTAATTAGAATTTTAATTAGCGATTAGCTGCGGATTAAAATATTCATTAAATTGATTTAATTCAATTAATTAATATATCTAGTTAGATTATCAATTAGAGAATTATAATAGTTAATTCATCTGCTTACTATTCTCTTTTTGTTCTATCCCCAGGCTCCTGTAGTGATTAACAGTTAAAGGAAACCCATTGTACCTAGACCAATTGCATTAAATCTATGTTAATGCTGATTTGAACCTTCACTTTCTTTAATTACATAACTTTAATTGTTTGATTGATGTTTTAATTAATTTATCTAATTATTATTATTCCTAGAATATACATTATATAAATGTATCAGAATGAAATATTAGATGCTTCAAGAAATTCTGCAGATAGCTAATTATACTCTACATGTCTAATTAAAGCATACAATGTTACAAAAAAGAAAAAGACTTCACTCCCATCCCATCACTACTTTTAAAGATGCTATTGAATTCCAAGTTGACTGCAAAGAGCTCTTGTAGTGGAAGCAGAACAGCACAGTGGTTCAAAATTAATTGTTTTAGTATTTATTTAATTGTTAGAATATAAATGCTAAAAATTAAATATTATAGAAATTAATTTTTTTATAAAATCTTCATTTAATTTAAAAATTACTTCAAATGTTATGTTATTGAATATTATAAAAACAATAGCATTTAACTAAAACCTACTTAAAAAGTTATTGCCGAACGTAGTCAAAATTTTTACATTCTTAAAATTCTAACAGTTGGCTATCAAAATATATATAAATATATTTACGGTTTAAAATATTTAACTGTCATTCTATGCATAGGAACATACTAAAATTAAAATTTTTTTAATTTGAATAATCTAAAAAATGCACTCCCCTGTATTAGTCCACTACATTTACAAACAGTAAAAGAGAGATTTCAATATCATTCACTCGACTAATTGTATTGAATTCAAATTAAAAGATAAATATTGCTAGTTATTCAAGTAAAATTGTAAAGAATAAGTATTAAAGTGCGATTTTTAAAATTACAAACTTGCAAGTTTGAATTTTATTTTATTTTTGAATTTGCATAAAATTATATGGAAATTAAGAATGAGACAATTAATGAAAAATGAGAGGTCAGTATAAGAGTAGGAAATTATAATGGCATTGTCTTGCATCGTACGAGTGCTAGGTTTTAGGTAATAAATAGGTCGCCATGATTGTGGAGCTTGTGGACAGTCCCATGTGATGGAGGGGTTCTATCAATTAGACCATTAAAACATGTAGTAACGTAAGTAACTCAGCAGTAGGACCTTCTTTTTTATTTGGATAGGTTAGTGGACCAGTTTTAGCACTATCAAAATGTGTCTAGCTCAACCAGCTTTTGCACCCACGACCAACCCTGTCTGTCTTCCACTTCTCTCAACTCTCAAGTCTCGACACTCCTTGTTCCTTAGTCGGCCATGGCCTAACCATTTTAAGACAATCTTGTTCTCTGGGTTTCGTCAACTCTTCTTTGACCTTATTGTCGATCTTGTTTGCATGGAAGTCGGGTATTAGCCAGATGGGGCAGGTGCAGGTCAGCTAATTCGATTCGTTTTCTTCTCTACGAACGTGAGGTGATTTCGGGATGTTTTTTCAATAACGTCATAACTTTTAATTATATCAGTCAACCGTCCATTGCACGTTATTATTTGTACTTATTGATTTTGATTAATTTTTACTGGTTTCTTAATTTTTCTTATCTAATAAAATCAAAATGCTTAAAATTTTTTTTGTCAATTGATAAATTTGATAGGAATATTTATGTTAATTTAATAATAATAATAATAAATTGGAGCCGGTTCAGTTCAGGTGCGGACACAAGGGTTCTTTTTCTTTATAGGATCTAGCGTGGGTTTAGGAAATTCGGGCTTTGAGTCTGGTGAGGGCAACCAGTCTAGGCCTTTAATATTCGGTCTAAGTCTCATCCGAATCCAGCCCATACGACCCCTACAAATATTTCAAATTAGTAACTGAACCGGATATTAACTGTGATTACCAGATTTTATGCTCCTGTCCGGTTGCAAAATTTATTATATTTTTTTATTTTAATTATTACTAATTTAAAAATATCATTTAGAAAACTAATTATGGAAAATGTAAAGCTTCCATCCCATTTTGTTTATTTATTATTCCTTTTCTAAATGTCCTAAAATATTTGGAATGTTTCTGAAACACCCCGAATTTTTATTTTTGAAATCTTTGGATTTTTATTTAATTAAAAATCGGGAATTTTGACCGTGTGGGCTGTAAATGTATGACCCTGGTGGGCTGTAAATGTATACAGTCTCAATCCGTGTGGGCTGTAAATGTAATATAGTCTCAATTCGAGCCCAAATTTTCGAATTGGGCCCAAGCCCAAATATAATGTCGAAAATTTTGAATCAAGAACAGTTAAATTTTCGAATAATAATGTGAAGTCCAGCAATTAATCTATTATGTATATATATAAATTAATTTTCCTAAAAATCAAATGTCACAATTGTTCATATTATATTAATATTGACTAAATGGAGAAAATATTATGGAACCGAACTGCATAATTAAAATAAATCAAACCGGGCCTTAAAATCAAACTAAATTTTCCAAAACCACATGAAAAATCCGAAAACCGAGAGAAAAACCTGCAAACTGAGCAAGAATCGAGCCAAATCGTTGAATTTGATCAAACCGGTTCGAATCGAACCGGAATGACCTAGAAAACCGACATACCTTTCTTTTCTTTCTTTTCTTTCCCTTCCTCCTCTCCTTCTTCGCGGGCGGGCGCGACTCCCTCCTCTCCCTCTCCTTCTGTCTTCGGCCACCAGACTGACGATGGTGGGTGGCGATCGATTCCTCTCATGCCGCCGGTCACGTTGCCAGTCTTTCTTCACGCCGATCAGGCCCTCAGCGGTGACGATGCAAGCCTCTTCCTCTTAGCGACGCAGCTTCGATTCCGGCGAAATCCACGCCGTTTACGATTGCTTCACGTACAACTGAGGGACTCAATTGACTCCGCATCACTTGCTTGACGTTTTCCCTGCATCGATTCCGGCGATGAAGCCTGGATGACGGAACTGCCATGAATGGCAGTGGCGAAGCCATTGTCGAAGTAATTTTCGGCCAATCAAGGCACAGTCAGTCCAATTTGAACACAGATCCGGAGTCCCCATGAGATTTCGAACATTTTGGTGTATATATTGTAAAATTCTGGGCAAAAGTCGTTTTTCCGACTCACCGTTGCATGGTCTGATTTTGGTTTCGTCTTCGTGTCTCTTTGTTATCTATCTTCTTGTGTTTTCTCGTTATATTGTTGGTCCTTCGATGAGATTATGAATTTCTTTTTTATTGTCTGATTCGTGATATTCTTTCGTCTTTCGATCCGAATGGTAGTTCGAATCTAAATTTAAATTTTTTGTATAATAAAAATTAATTGATTAATGAATTTAATTGAGTTATTAAATAGATTTTAAATTGAATAACAA